TGGCAGAGTTCTTATTTCGAGTGTGTCTGGATTTTTATCCGTGGTTTAGTGATCGATTCAATGAAAAGACAAAATGAGGGGTTGTTTTGTAGTTTATAGGTTACCTTCTGCCTCCTCATCATTGAAGTTAATCAAATGATGGGTTCCAATGATGGTTTTTTTTCCTACAAAGCAAATTTATTGCTGTAGTTTGAGATTTAAAGTTAATAAGCTAATGTAAACATATGTTGTAGTTTATGTGAGGAATATTTAATGATTTGTTACAGAAGTACACTATAACAATAGTGAAGTACATGTACTCAATAAAGAGTATCCTTTCATGGACATACATCAAGATTTTAACTGATTTCTTTCACATATGGTAGATTTTCTCACCATGCCATGAGGTTGTGTTTCCACTCACCATTCAACAAATTTAAGGTCAGTTCCTGTTTGTCTTTTCTTTATAGACTTCAGTCTCATCCAGAGATCTTCTCTATTTTCGACAGATCTCTTTCAAACTTTGCCAGTTTAATCATCATGACATGAAGTTGTGAGTTCCTGACCTGCTTTTTGTTTCAGCTATATTTTGATGTGTTACAATTCCTTGTTTGTTTCATTATCTTAATCGTGTTTGGAGGTCTCCTTTGTGTTTCAACAATATGTAGCAGAGAAATTTTAATCGTGTTTGGAGGTCTCCTTTGTGTTTCAACAATATGTAGCAGAGAAATTTTAATCATGTTTGGAGGTCTCCTTTGTGTTTCAACAATATGTAGCAGAGAAATTTTAATGATGTTTGGAGGTCCCTTTGTGTTTCAACAATATGTAGCAGAGAAATTTTAATCATGTTTGGAGGTCCCTTTGTGTTTCAACAATATGTAGCAGAGAAATTTTAATCATGTTTGGAGGTCCCTTTGTGTTTCAACAATATGTAGCAGAGAAATTTTAATCATGTTTGGAGGTCCCTTTGTGTTTCAACAATATGTAGCAGAGAAATTTTAATCATGTTTGGAGGTCCCTTTGTGTTTCAACAATATGTAGCAGAGAAATTTTAATCATGTTTGGAGGTCCCTTTGTGTTTCAACAATATGTAGCAGAGAAATTTTAATCATGTTTGGAGGTCCCTTTGTGTTTCAACAATATGTAGCAGAGAAATTTTAATCATGTTTGGAGGTCCCTTTGTGTTTCAACAATATTTAGCAGAGAATTTTTCTCTTCAATTTTAATCTTTTACCAGAAGTGTTTTCCCTCTTCTGTTTAAATCCTTGTTTTTGTTACTGTTTCAATGCTAGTTTCTTAAAAACACTGCTAGTGACAGTACTGTTTACAAAATATTAATTTGAAACTGTTTCTTGAGCTTGATCTAAGTGTAGACTTTATTTTTGTTTCTATTTTCTAAAAAATCAGCATAACAGAGTCTGATAGACTAGTAGAATCTTTCTCCCCATCAGAGGTGAAATAGTGGAATCTCCACCCAAGTGGAAAGATTATCAAGTTTGCAAACACAAGGTTTAGGATTATTACTTTCTTACCCAATTGTGCATCCATACATGTATATTGTTGTTATCTCAATGCCTGTCACTGTCAATGTGATGTTAATGAATCGTTTACCTGATACCAGTGAATCGTTATTGGGATTTCATACCATTTCCCTGATAGGAGAATGTCAGGGAAGTATTACCCCAATAAAACATGGCAAAACCTGTCCTTGGTTAAAGAAAATGAATACAAATTCAAAGAGATTGTAATTATTTCACATGAGTTTGGATTGTATACTAATCATAAGGATACCATTAAAGTGTGGGTATAATGTCATCCATTGTTCTCTGTGTACTACAACCAAGCGTGTTACCTGGAACTTTATGTTACCTATGGCTGACTCATAGGTGACTCAGATATAGGACAGTCACTTAAAAGACGGCTAAAGATAACTGGAGATTGTTGGCTTCTCTGTTGTCCTAATCTGGATACAAATAGATCAATATAAAAAAGTATACTGGTAGACACTCATGTTTCAAAATAGCAGGTTTAATTAAAACTTTACATGGTCAAAACTAAAGCATGATAAATGAACATATCAAATCCAATTTATTCCATGAACAGAAAAATGTGTAGTGTGCCAGCTGTTAGAAGAATGCACTAAGAAAATCATATTACACATGTGTACAAAGATTCTTTCACTTTTCAGTATTCATGTCAAGCTTTCTAGTGTGTGTAGCTCTTTTTTTGTCTTTTTAGGTCATCTGACCCGAAGGGTCCGATGACCTATAGTCATCATGCTTCGTCCGTCGTCGTCCGCCGTGCGTCGTGCGCCGTGCGCCGTCCGTAAACTTTTCATTCAAACGACTTCTTCTCAAATACTAGAAGGTCTAGGGGGCTAATACTTGGCACAGAGGATACTGGCATGGAGCTCTACCAAGTTTGTTCAAATGAATGACCCACATTAAAGGTCACAGGGGTCAAATATGTTAAAATCTTTAAACAACTTCTTCTCATTAACCAAAAGGCTCAGAGTGTAGATATTGGGCCTGTGACATGCTGGGATGAAGGACTACCAAGTTTGTTCAAATGAATGACCTTGACCCACTTTAAAGGTCACAGGGGTCAAATATGTTAAAATCTTTAAACAACTTCTTCTCAATAACCAAAAGGCTCAGATTGCTGATATTGTGCCTGTGGCATGCTGGGATGAAGGGCTATCAAGTTTGTTTAAATGAATGACCTTGAACAACTTTCAAGGTCACAGGGGTCAAATATGTCAAAATCTTTAAATAACTTCTTCTCAAATACTAGAAGGCCTAGGGGGCTAATACTTGGCCCATAGCATGCTGGCATGGAGCCCTACAAAGTTTGCTCAAATGAATGACCTTGGCCCACTTTCAAGGTCACAGGGGTCAAATATGTTAAAATATACAAAGGACTTCATCTCAATAAGCAAAAGTCTATGAGTGCCGATATTGGGTCTGTAGCATGCTGGGAGGAAAGGCTACCAAGTTTATTCAAATGAATGACCTCAACCCACTTTCAAGGTCACAGGGGTCAAATATGTTAAAATATACAAACAACTTCTTCTCAACAAGCAAAAGTCTATGAGTGCTGATATTGGGCCTGTAAGATGCTTGGAGGAGAGGCTACCAAGTTTGTTCAAATGAATGACCTCAACCCACTTTCTAGGTTTGGCTTGCTTTTTGTCAGATGACCGTTAAGGCCCATGGGCCTCTTGTTTCATAAAACACTGTGATGGTTTTGCAAATGATGGAGCTATGTCCTAATGTTAACTAAAAAACATTTTGGGTCATTAAACATTTAGCACACTGTTACAAATTCTATGCGTGAGTAGTGAAAGAGACATTTTCCATCAGGAAGGGTATCATCCTAATATATATATATAGCATATACAATAGCAGAAGCTCTTGTTTATTTTAATTTAACATCCTTTTCTAGAGGCAAATCCCTCTTGTCACAAATATATGTAAATGAGCTTATTATAGTAAGACACTTTTGATTTCAGTTGATTTAAGAACACATTTCAATGGAGTGATACATTCCTTTTGCCACATTTTGACCACATCCTAAGCTGTTGTTTTGTTGAAAATATTTTGTTATAATGATAAAACATCTCTTAAAACACTATTTGTATCATTTAAATTCATGAGTGGAAAATGTTGACCACCCTAAATTTCCCCCACCCCAGACGTACCTTTTGTTATTATTGTGTTGATATGATTGAATAAGGGTGATTAGAAACAACATTAGTGAAAAAAAGATAATTAGTAATAAAATAGTGAAATGCTTTACTTTACCATGGCCATTTTGAAAGTGACCCACCTTCCCTAACCTCGGACAAATTTTCTGTTATTTATGTGGTTTTTTAATGAATCAGGGTGATTAGTTTACCAATATTTCTTATGAATCCCATTATAGAGATATCTAGTGGGTTCTCATAATATGAGTAGGAGTAAGTCCCACAAAAAAAATGAGTCAGATATTTGAGTCCCAAAAATTACAGTATGGTGAAGACTGAAGAGGACTGAATTTTGTATAACAGTGGGTCCCAGCCCTTTAGAGTGGGATGGTAGGACCTAATGGGGAAATACAGGTTTTTTGAAACAGGTAACTCTAGTCACAATGATATCTGTCTGTACAGGTAGCACCAGCAGCAGTGACACCTGTCTGTACAGGTAGCACCAGCAGCAGTGATACCTGTCTGTACAGGTAGCACTAGCAGCGGTGACACCTGTCTGTACGGGTAGCACCAGCAGCAGTGACACCTGTCTGTACAGGTAGCACCAGCAGCGGTGACACCTGTCTGTACAGATAGCACTAGCAGCAGTGACACCTGTCTGTACAGGTAGCACCAGCAGCGGTGACACCTGTCTGTACAGGTAGCACTAGCAGCAGTGACACCTGTCTGTACAGGTAGCACTAGCAGCAGTGACACCTGTCTGTACAGGTAACACTAGCAGCAGTGACACCTGTCTGTACAGGTAGCACCAGCAGTGGTGACACCTGTCTGTACAGGTAGCACTAGCAGCAGTGATACCTGTCTGTACAGGTAGCACTAGCAGCAGTGACACCTGTCTGTACAGTGGTGACACCTGTCTGTACAGGTAGCACTAGCAGTGGTGATACCTGTCTGTACAGGTAGCACTAGCAGCAGTGATACCTGTCTGTACAGGTAGCACTAGCAGTGGTGACACCTGTCTGTACAGGTAGCACTAGCAGTGGTGATACCTGTCTGTACAGGTAGCACCAGCAACAGTGACACTTGCACCAGTATCAATGAAACTTGCCTTTACAGATTTCATCGACAGTACTTACATATGTCTGTGTATGTAACACCAGCAGGCAGTGACATCTATCTATCTAGGTAACACAACAATACATGTAGCAGTGACACCATAAGCAATGGATATACATTATAGGAATATTTCAGTAAGGATTTTCATGTTACAGATAAAAAACATCAGCATACATTTTTTTTGATAATGCATGTTACAAAATATGTTTTTTTGTTGCAGATAGATTTGGAAGTTCAAAAATTGATGATGCACTTCTTAAAAGGATGGAGAAAGTTACAGGCAAACCTGTTCACCATATGCTAAGGAGAGGCATCTTCTTCTCTCACAGGTATTTCATCGTTCTCCTGTAAGGTGCTGATCAGATGTATAATGGCAGCATGTTTATCTTGTAATGTAAAGTTGTAAATTTCTACAAAACTTATCAAACATCTATGTTTCTAATGTAACTTTTGGGTCTTAACAAAGATCAAAAAACGTTTATGCCCTGTAATTTTTGTTGCTTCAAGAAAGCTGGTCAGATGTCTTTGTCTTTCTATATCTAATAGCCCAACACAATGAGATTGTAGTCTATTCAGATAACCTGCATCCACTGTCTGTCATCCCTCTGTTGTCCATTCTTGAACAATTTTTGTCATTTCTGCACTGGATGTATCTTCTTCAAATTTCACATGAAAGTTTCCCTTTTTTCCTAGTTGTGCCCTTTTGATTTTAAAACTGATCAGAATTATAAAATGTTTGACAGGTGGCCATCTTGGAGTTTCACAATAAAAATTTGTTATGACTACTTTTTGAGAAGTACTAGATTGATTTTTTGCCATTTTCACTTTGATCCTAAGTGCTAAGATGCTCTTTTAATTTTGAGACAGATCAGAAAAACAAAATGGCTTAAAAGGTGCCATATTGGTTTTACAGAGTTTGTTATCACCAGGTTTCCCTCCTAGTTTGTGATGGATTGTTCTTAATATTCATCTGTAGGTTCTCTTGTTCCTGTCAGTTCTATTCTAAATGGGTATCCCCCATCCTCCCACCCCTGTTTATTTTATCTATGTTACCATATGATTGATTGACATGTCACTACAACACATGGTGAAGAATGGACAAAAGGATAGAAGGAAAAAGACCGAAAGAACAAATCAAACAAAAGAAGTGAAAATATCCACCTTATAGAGAGCCAAGCCAGATCATATGATATTTGTCTTTTTTGTACAGAGAGATGAACTTAATTCTGGACGCTGTGGAGAAGGATAAACCATTTTACCTCTACACAGGGAGGGGTCCGTCATCAGAAGCCATGCATTTAGGACATCTCATCCCTTTTATTTTTACCAAGTGGGTATTTTGTTCAGATGAGATTGTATGTTTACAGTGCTTCAGAATGAGACCTCTTGCAGTAGTCTCTTTACATTTTAAACAACACTTTATGTCTGTAGTTTATATATTCTATTTATCTACATGTAGAGATCTGCTGATATTGAAGCATGAACATATTCTGCATACATAACAATGTAACCGTATCTATAAGTGTTCACTTACATTGGAAGGTGGCTGCAGGACACATTTGATGTGCCATTGGTCATCCAGATGACCGATGACGAAAAGTTTCTGTGGAAGGATCTGACACTTGAAGAGACCAATAAACTGGCGCACGAAAATGCTAAGGATATCATCGCTTGTGGCTTTGACATTGAAAAAACGTTTATTTTCAGTGACATTGAATACATTTCGTAAGTTTGTATATAAGTTCTTTTACAAATATCATATGCAAATGTAATTCTCACATAATCTTTTTATGTAGTTGACTGAAAGGATTTTTACTCTTTTTTGATGCCTTGTTGCTGAAGTGATTTTATTCTTTTTTGATGCGTTGTTGCTGAAGCGATTTTATTCTTTTTTGATGCGTTGTTGCTGAAGCGATTTTATTCTTTTTCGATACATTGTTGCTGAAGTGATTTTATTCTTTTTTGATACATTGTTGCTGAAGTGATTTTATTCTTTTTCGATACATTGTTGCTGAAGTGATTTTATTCTTTTTCGATACGTTGTTGCTGAAGTGATTTTATTCTTTTTTGATACATTGTTGCTGAAGTGATTTTATTCTTTTTCAATACATTGTTGCTGAAGTGATTTTATTCTTTTTCGATACATTGTTGCTGAAGTGATTTTATTCTTTTTCGATGCGTTGTTGCGGAAGTGATTTTATTCTTTTTCGATGCGTTGTTGCGGAAGTGATTTTATTCTTTTTCGATACATTGTTGCTGAAGTGATTTTATTCTTTTTCGATACATTGTTGCTGAAGTGATTTTATTCTTTTTTGATACATTGTTGCTGAAGTGATTTTATTCTTTTTTGATGCATTGTTGCTGAAGTGATTTTATTCTTTTTCGATACATTGTTGCTGAAGTGATTTTATTCTTTTTCGATACATTGTTGCGGAAGTGATTTTATTCTTTTTCGATACATTGTTGCTGAAGTGATTTTATTCTTTTTCGATACATTGTTGCTGAAGTGATTTTATTCTTTTTCGATACGTTGTTGCTGAAGTGATTTTATTCTTTTTCGATACATTGTTGCTGAAGTGATTTTATTCTTTTTCGATACGTTGTTGCTGAAGTGATTTTATTCTTTTTCGATGCGTTGTTGCTGAAGTGATTTTATTCTTTTTCGATGCGTTGTTGCTGAAGTGATTTTATTCTTTTTCGATGCGTTGTTGCTGAAGTGATTTTATTCTTTTTCGATACATTGTTGCTGAAGTGATTTTATTCTTTTTCGATACATTGTTGCTGAAGTGATTTTATTCTTTTTCGATACATTGTTGCTGAAGTGATTTTATTCTTTTTCGATACATTGTTGCTGAAGTGATTTTATTCTTTTTCGATACATTGTTGCTGAAGTGATTTTATTCTTTTTCGATACATTGTTGCTGAAAGTGATTTTATTCTTTTTTGATACATTGTTGCTGAAGTGATTCATTCTTTTTTGGTATGTTGTTTCTGAGGTGTTTTTAACTTGTTTTTGACAAGTTATTGCTGAGGTCGTCTTTACTTGTTTTTGATGTTGATTAGGTGATTTTTAGCTCACCTGGCCAGAAGGGTGATTGTCATTCATCTGACATCTGTTGTCAGTCAACTTTTTCTACAAGACAGTACTAGTCATGAACAACTGAAGGGGTTTTGACCAAATTTGGTCAGAAGCATCCTTAGAGAAGAGAAACATTTTCTGTGTGAATCTTGTGTCCCGGCTCCGCTAGGCCTGAGGGGCAGGACCCAAAAAGGAAAATTTGGCAAGTCCTTTAAGAACCTATTCCCACTGTAGGCATGATTCAATTTTGTTTAATTTGTATAAACGGTGGATCTCGCTCCCCTGGGATGGGAGGGATCTGGCCCAATAGGGGAAAAAGATCAAATTCTTTAAAATCCCATTCTTCCTTTAGGAATGATTGGATTTTGTCCAAATTTGGTCAAAATCATATTTGGGTGATTTATTTCAATTTTGTATAAACAGTGGGTTATGGGCCCCTCTAGGACAAGAGGGGAGGGGCTCAATAAGGGAAACAGTTAAGAACTTAAGCCTATCACCATGTATAGCAGCGCTGGCATAAAAAGAAAGCCTATCACCATGTATAGCAGCGCTGGGCATAAAAAGATAAATATAATCGTGATTTAATAATTGGATCTTGGTTCTGGATCCATCCATCTGGACTTCATTTATGGGTTATATCTTTGAAACAATTATCTCCCCACCCTATAAGGATATATAGCAATGCTGGGGATCAAGAGATAAACACAATTATGATGTAAGAATTGGCCCTTGGATCTGACCCCACTCAGAAGGACTCAGTTTCTTAGTACTATCATTGAAACAGTTCAGATCCCAACCCCAAATCCATATATAGCAATCCTGAGCATTAAGAAATAACACATTCACAATGTAAAAACTGGCCTTTGGGTGTGGCATACCTCTAGGGACATAATTTCTTGGTCATATTTTTAACTAAGTTGAGGTACCAACCCAATACGCATGTAAACTCTCATTGGGAATCAAAAGAGAAAGACGATCATGATATAAGAATTTACCCATTGGTATTGCTTCATCAAAGACAGAAAAACAAAATGGCTTAAAAGGTGCCATATTGGTTTTACAGAGTTTGTTATCACCAGGTTTCCCTCCTAGTTTGTGATGGATTGTTCTTAATATTCATCTGTAGGTTCTCTCGTTCCTCTTAGTTCTATTATAAATGGGTTAAGTGACTGAGCTTTACTTTGGAAATATCTGAAATACCTAACCTATAGGCATGTATATCATTGCTTGGCTTTAACATTCTAGTATAAAGGTCCTATTGACTTCTTGTTACTCATTTTTGATACATTGTTTCTGAGATTTTTTTTTATTTCTATACAAGATAACTTGTTTCAATATTATCTTGAAATAGATACAAGAATATCTTGATGAGTTTTGATAGAAATCACTTAAAATATGATGTGTATAGAATTCTGGTTAGTTACTTATTAGATATGAAACTATTGCCAATTATTGGGTAAAATATTGGTTGTTGTTATCATAAAACCTTATCTTCATTTATCTACAGCTCATGTAGGGAATTTTACCAGTACATGTGCGAGATTCAGAAAAGTGTCACATTTAACCAGGTCAAAGGTATCTTTGGATTTACTGAGAGTGATTGTATTGGTAAAATCTCCTTTCCTGCTATCCAAGCCACGCCGAGCTTCAGTGGAGCTTTCCCTCAGATCTTCAATGGCCAAAAAGATATCCCCTGTCTTATTCCATGTGCAATAGACCAGGTATGATGTTCCAAACATTTACTGTACACAAATATCTTCACTCTGATACAGTGACACTGTTTGATTTTATACATAAGCTCATTAATACAGCATTATCCAGTAGTAAGACTAATGGAATCATTCACCCCCTTGTTGGTTAGATAGTGAGATCCTGGCTCCAGGGGTGTAGGGTTATGAAGTTTGGCAGTCATGTTTGCCAAGTGTTTGCAACTTAATGATCTTCCCCTGAGAGTTGATAATCCTTTCTCTCACCAACAATGTAGTGAATTATTATTTTTCTACTCTTCTTATTTCCATGCTTTTCATTGTTGGTGCAATAAATTAGTTCAAGCGATCAAGGTTAAAGGTCAAAGGTTACCCTTGATGACAGATTCAGATTAGAAGAAAAATAAGCAAGGGAGTGGGTATACCTGAGCCCCTGTTAACTATGATTTTATTTTTCAATTTCCTTACCTTGTAAATGACTTACCATTGTTAATATCGGACTTGTTGATAATGGATACAAGTGTTTCATTATGATTGGTTGAACTCTTTTTTTATAAATTTTGTTTCGACATCATCAATTTTATCAATTCTTTCTGTTGTTGCCCTTTCCAAGTGTCCATTAAGAGAGGAAAGATGGACACTATGTTCTCGAGTTAGATAAAATTGGACAATACAAGCACATTAGCACCTTGTTAGTTGTGTGTAGGGGAGATTACAAGTTTACTATCGATGTTAATTGATAATTACAGGAAAGTTATGATGTTCTTTTTAATGCCAATTGTACAGTTGATCCTCATCCTTTATAACTAAGTCCTTTGCAGTAAAGGAGATTGCTTTTGAATATTTTTGAAAGGTACTCTTTGTAAGTGAAATGTTTTACCTCTATAGGACCCCTACTTCAGGATGACACGTGATGTGGCCCCAAAGCTAAAACTTGAAAAACCTGCGCTTTTGCACTCCACATTCTTCCCTGCCCTTCAGGGAGCCCAGAGCAAAATGAGTGCCAGTGATCCCAATTCTTCCATCTTCCTTACAGACACTGACAAACAGATCAAGGACAAGGTAAGTATCATTAAAAAACCATTAGGTCATGCCTTTGTGATTCATCTGTTTTACTTTAGGTCATGCCTTTGTCATTCATCTGTTGTACTTAAGGTTATGTATTGTGTTGATTTTGAACAAACTATTAACTTCCTGTCACATGTCAATGTAATTGCTGTTATTAGATCAACAAGTACGCCTACTCAGGGGGTGGCAGCACTGTAGAGGAACACAAGAAGAAGGGAGGCGACTGTGCAGTTGATGTGGCTTTCCAGTACATGAAGTTCTTTTCTGAAGATGACAGTCGTCTCCAACAGATAGAGGAGGTATGATAACTGTTACTAATTACTAGATATGTAGTTTACTTTATCATAATTGATTATTGTCTTTTAGTGTCGGATTACTGGTAGCTATGATTTATTGTCTGATTACTAGTAACTGCCACTTAGTGTCTCAATATCTGTTACTGTCATTTAGTGTCTCATCTGCTACTGTAACTTAGTGTCTCATTATCTGCTACTGTAACTTGGTGCGTCATCATCTGCTACAGTGACTTAGTGTCTCATTATCTGCTACTGTAACTTAGTGTCTCATTACAGGTAACTGTAACTTAGTGTCTCATTATCTGCTCCTGTAACTTAGTGTCTCATTATCTGCTCCTGTAACTTATTGTCTCATTATCTGCTACTGTAACTTAGTGTCTCATTACAGGTAACTGTAACTTAGTGTCTCATTATCTGCTCCTGTAACTTAGTGTGTCATCATCTGCTCATGTAACTTAGTGTCTCATTATCTGTTACTGTAACTTAGTGTCTTATTTTCTGCTCCTGTAACTTAGAGTCTCATTACAGGTAACTGTAACTTAGTGTCTCATTATCTGCTCCTGTAATTTGGTGTGTCATCATCTGCTACGGTGACTTAGTGTCTCATTATCTGTTACTATGATTTAGTGTCTCATCATCTGCTACTGTAACTTAGTCTGTCATCATTTGCTACAGTGACTTAGTGTCTCATTATCTGTTACTGTCTTTTAGTGTCTCATTACTGATAACTGTCACTTAGTGTCTTATTACAGGTTACTGTCTATTAATGTTGTATTACTAGTAACTGTCACTTAGTGTCTCATTATCTGTTACTGTCTTTTAGTGTCTTATTACTGATAACTATCACTAAGTGTCTCATTACAGGTTACTGTCTATTAATGTCGCATAACTGGTTACTGTCACTTACTGTCCCATTACTGGTTACTGTCACATAGTGTCTCCTTACTGGTTACTGTCACTTAATGTCCCATTACTGGTTACTGTCACTTAATGTCCCATTACTGGTTACTGTCACATAGTGTCTCATTACTGGTTACTGTCACATAGTGTCTCATTACTGGTTACTGTCACATAGTGTCTCATTACTGGTTACTGTCACATAGTGTCTCATTACTGGTTACTGTCACTTGATGTCCCATTACTGGTTACTGTCACTTAATGTCCCATTACTTGTCCCATTACTGGTTACTGTCACTTAATGTCCCATTACTGGTTACTGTCACTTAATGTCCCATTACTGGTTACTGTCACTTAATGTCCCATTACTGGTTACTGTCATTTAGTTCCTTCAGTTCTTGTCTCTGTCTTTAATGAGTAAGCTTCTTTACTACTAGGAAATTCCTGTTTTTAAATGAGCTTGTTAACCTTTGTCTGTTTTTTCTGGTCAAACACCAATAAAGAATTATCACAGGCAATGATTATTCCAGACCACTGCACCACATACATTTGTTTTGTGTTTCCAGGAGTACACCAAAGGGGAGCTTCTGACTGGCCATCTCAAGAAGGAATTAATTGAAGTGCTTCAAAAAATTATAGGGGAACACAGAGAGAAACGAGCAAAAGTCACAGATGAAATGGTGAACGAATTCATGAAACCAAGGAAACTCAAGTATGAGTATAAAAGTGTTAAAACTAAAGTTTAAACTTTTTATAAGTATTAGATTTAATTTCATTGACACATTCTCTCAGTTGAATTGTATTTGAACTAGCACATTCGGCCCAAATCATTCGGTGGATATTCTGAATCTTATTGTGTCCTGAGCTGATCCGTTAATGAAAATTTTCTTGCAGTAATCTGATTAGAGTGCTTTTAGTTTAGCTTTACTCATTAAACAAACATCATGGAAAAAAGGCTTCAAATTGCAGGTTGAGGTTTCATGGATGAAAGTGTGATTCCATTTTTTTGACTAAAGATGGGTTTGTAACAATGGCAATGTGAATTACAAGTGTAATAGTTTAGCTTGTATTGAAGAACAATATGATAAAACTATGGTATGATATGCTTTGGTAATTACGCATACTTTGAAAGTTGTGGTTTTGATGCTTGATACATTTGTTTTCTTCGATTTGTTTCATCTTATGAAATAAACATAAATGTACTAACAATATATTGTTGTATATAAAGATGAAGATACACAAACATTCAGAAACTAAAGAAGTCTTATCATTTATCATAATTATACAAACAAATTAATCTGTAACAAATGGAAAAATGTATTATGGTAAATATCATATCACCTGGATGTATTATGGTAAATATCATATCACCTGGATGTATTATGATAAGTATCATATTCCTTGGATGTGTTATGGTATAGCCCCTTCAACCTGTAATGATTTATAAAGATGGTGGTGTTTGGTAATAATTTGGAAAAAAAACAAGTATATGATTTGAATGAACTGATTTTATTATAATAATGCAATAAATAAGTTTGACAATCTGATGATACAGGTTTATCACCGAAGTAATAATGTGTTATTGTCATTTTTATTTGTGTGAGGTTTTCAAAATCTGGTAAGGAACGATGCATTACAGCACTGACAATTCTAACCAGAAAATGGTAAACAAGACCTTGACCTTGACTGAACAACCTTGAAACTTGACTTTTTTGTAAAGTTGGATCAAAATCCCTTACAGAATGATGCTGCTAAAAACCTGACAATTTTCTAAAAATAGCAGTCGTGACCTTGACCTTACAACACTGAAACTCTATCTCGTCCAAGATATTTTGATGCATTTTAAATGTGTGAAATGCGATAAGAATCCTTCCAGGAATGAACCTTAACCTCAAAACTCTAAAGATTTCCTAGATATTCTGATGGCTTTTAGTATGTGAAGTTTAATGAGAATCCCTCAAGGAATGAAATCAATACAGCATTGACAAATGCAGGGACTAACAGATAGGAAAACGACAGTTCCCACCCACCCCCACCCCTTTATAGGTTTCAAGAATAATCTGGCATCAGTGTCTCCTGGCAAAACATTACTGTTCTTCATTAAAGTGCTGCCTTTTCTTCAATGTTATGAATCTTTGAGACAAATAAACATGAAATGTTTAGTGATTAATTGACTTGCCATCATAACAATTATTGTGTTTGTTTGTTGGTCATCTTAAATTGAAAAGATATTTGCTTTATAAAATGACTTTGTTCCTACAGAGACCTAAACCTATTTGATTAACTCTCCTTCATCAGCATTATCGTCCATGAGTTCACCCAGACTTTTCCAGTCTGTGGTGTGAGGTGACATGTTGGTAACATTCAACACCTTCCTATGAATTGTCCCTGTTAATGGTACCTCTGTAAGGAGCTCACCTTCCTCCTCAGATGATCCTTCCTCCCCCTCACCGGTCTGACCAGTCAGACCCATGTCACTGGTACCCCCAGTACTTAGCCCTGCCTCCAGAGCTTGAGCCAACACTTTGTAATCCTCATCAGTGGCCACTGTATCGTCTTTGATAACACTGTTTCTGTCACTACTGTTGGTCTCCCCAAGGGTGCTGATGGTAGTGTTTTTCCTACTGTTCTTTTTCCCTTTTTTAAGGCTTTTGTTGGTACCTACTGGCTCAACATGGTGAATTTTCACCTCCACAGGTCTAGGGAGAGGGTTCAGGCTGCCTGACTGACCAGGAATGACCAGGTCAGTGCTAGCCAGGCTCTGGACCTCGCTGTTACTATCATCTGCTAGGCTGTGCTTTATCTCCCCCACTATCACTTCATTTATTTTGTTTTCAGCCAGGATAACCCTTCGCAACTTGACTGGAAAGCTCTCCACTAAATAGGACACAAGCTTAATAAAATACAGAAAAAAAGACAGGAAACTTTACTGAGCTATAAAATAAATGTATGTAGAAAAATAAGTTGTAAGTTTTATTAATACACAAACCAATCTTGATATTTCCAAGTATTATTAAAAGAGATAACATTATTCTTTATCCTGGAAGGCATGAAAATGGTATTTTAATATTCTTGAAGAAAACATTGATGATATCCTCTATATTACTTCAACCCTCAAAATGACGAACCTGTTTACTTAGTAACCAGGATGCAATTACATCTTCCCATATTCAAACCTACCGAGAAATTTGTATACTTACTTACCTTTACCCTCTACATAGATCTGTATGCTTAGCTTAAATTTATATACTTAGTTATCTGTACACTATACATAGCCCTTTATACTGAGTTACCTGCACACCCTATATAGACCTGTATACTTAGTTTCTTGTACCCTTCATATCATCCTTGATAATCCAGTGGTTATAATCAGATTTGCTCTCTGCACCTCTGGAACATGTCATGGCAAAATTGAAGGTTCCATGTGCAACATCTTGTGGACAACACAAAAAAACATCGAATGAATCTCAAGGTCACATAATGATATATTGTGATGGCTTTGATGTTGGATGTCTTCTAAAGGAGAGTATCAGCCTGTGGTTGGTCAGTTTTTTTTTCTCCTGGAACCAAGTTACTTCGTTTGTGCCTTCAAATTTTCCATGACACGTTTCAGGGGTGCAGAGAATGAAAGTGATTGTAACCCCTGGAGTATCAAGGATGCCTCCAGATAGACACGGAGTTACCTGTACTGTCTACATACAGATATATCTTTATACTGAGTTGTACACTCTATTTAGACCTTTATATAGATCTACATGTACACTTCAGGGTGGTCAGGTAGGGCAATGGTGATATACTCGTCTTCCACCTGGCTGTCTGGGGTTTCAATTCTTGGATTGGACATGAAAAGGTAAGGGGGTCACCTGCCCAACCACATGGATTTTCACAGCGGTACTCCGGTTTCTTCCCATAAAAAGACCCCTGGTATGCTTACATCCACCCAACAAGTGTGAAATAGGTGAAATAACTTGTTTTGCAATTTTGTAAAATAAATATGGTTAAAATTCATACTCTATATAGATCTCTACACTAATTTCTTGTACTCTCCATACAAACCATAATACTGTGATACTTAGTTACTTCTACCCTCCATATAGAAACTTTATGCTGAGTAAGTAACCTGTACACACTATATAGATCTCTATACTTAGTTACTTCTACCCTCCATATAGACCTTTATGCTGAGTAATCTGTACACACTATATAGATCAATATACTTAGTTACTTCTACCCTCCATATAGACCTTTATGCTGAGTAACCTGTACACACTATATAGATCTTTATACTTAGTTACTTCTACCCTCCATATAGACCTTTATGCTGAGTAACCTGTACACACTATATAGATCTATATACTTAGTTACTTCTACCCTCCATATAGACCTTTATGCTGAGTAACCTGTACACACTATATAGATCTTTATACTTAGTTACTTCTACCCTCCATATAGACCTTTATGCTGAGTAACCTGTACACACTATATAGATCAATATACTTAGTTACTTCTACCCTCCATATAGACCTTTATGCTGAGTAACCTGTACACACTATATAGATCTTTATACTTAGTTACTTCTACCCTCCATATAGACCTTTATGCTGAGTAACCTGTACACACTATATAGATCTATATACTTAGTTACTTCTACCCTCCATATAGAAACTTTATGCTGAGTAACTTGCACACTCTTTATAGATCTTTATACTTAGTTACTTCTACCCTCCATATAGACCTTTATGCTGAGTAACCTGTACATACTATATAGATCTATATACTTAGTTACTTCTACCCTCCATATAGACCTTTATGCTGAGTAACCTGTACACATATAGACCTTTATGCTGAGTAACTTGTACACATAGATCTATATAGATCTTTATACTATAGAAACTTTACTTACACACTATATAGATCTACCCTCCATATAGACCTTTATGCTGAGTAACCTGTACACACTATATAGATCTATATATTTAGTTACTTCTACCCTCCATATAGGACTTTATGCTGAGTAACCTGTACACACTATATAGCTCTATATACTAGACCTTGGTACCAAGTTACCAGAACACTCCATATGGACTTATATACTTATTACCAATACCCTCCATATTGATATCAATACTTAGTTTCTTGTACTCTCGTGATTAGTTACCTTTGCAGTATGGTCAGTGACCCCAGTGCCCTCTAGGTCCAGTATTTCTATCTGCCTTTTAGATGTGAGCCCCACAAGGAGACAGCTAGCTGCATAATCACCCAGTCTGTTGTAGTCCACATACAATTCACGCAAATGACTGCTAACTGCCAGGGCAACAGCAAACTTGGCCCAAGCCTCAGGACTTATACTGGTGTTGGCACTCAGGGTGAGGTCAGCCAATCCTGATATCACAAGTCAGGGATAAAAGCCAGTTATGAATTAAACATTTATTATCAAGTCAAAAAATCTCTTCCGTAAACTCCTATTGTTTAATTATAAACTAGATTATCATGTGATAGCAGGACACTATTGTAAAATGTACCTAAACTTTTATTATATATTAATGACCTAATCGAGTAAATAAATGCCTAAGTGATCAGTTAAAGTGAGATAACTATATATCAATCTCCTGACATCAGAAACATTTCAGTATTCAGTAAAATTAAAGTGATTTGAGATAGTAACCTGGTTTGGCACCATTTGGAGGCAAAAGGTCACTGATGACCTCCAGGGATTCATCACCTAGGTTGCAGTCTCCGACATCAAGAGACACAATGTTTGGGTGCTGAGCAAGAGATTCTCCGAGGATTGCCATTCCTTCATCTCCAAATGTATTCCCATTCACCCTAAATATAAGGTACAGGCACATTGGAAACATGTATTCATTTCCATTTTTATAATTCCATTGTCATTTTGTCATTAGAATACCCAACATTCTAAAACAGTGAAAAGTGTAGAAAATGTAAATATAAAAAAAGGACTGTCTTCATTAGGTATTTATAGCCCATATGAATTACACTACTTTGCAGGCAAAACAAACTACATATATATATATATGTAAGCCACATACTTAGATAACTATAACTAAGTTCATAATTAAGCAATAATATCATAAATGACCAATATTTACATCATTCAATACATATAAAAAGACCCTAGACCAACCACATGAATAATTCAGTGTATTACTGGGAACAAATTAATCAATAGAATCTTGCTGACTATTGCATGTGTAGGTTCTGACCAGGTACCTGTACTAAAGAAGTAGACAATGTGTATTGATTTGTAGTTTCTACAAGACAATATATATATCTGTGTGTGCTGATTCGTGTATAACAGTTACCAAGTATGCTCCGACTAATAAATAATACATTATCATAGCCACAAAATGCTGAGGACAACAGCACCTTCAGTTTTTACAAAAAACATAATTTAACATCAATGAGCAACTTCCATATATAATATTATCACGAGTTTACTGGATAATCCATCTCAAGTTATAACTGTTGATGTGATTTTACAAATGTCATTCTCATTTTTTCACAATCGAGGGAAATAACTACTGTACGATAAATTTTGCACATACATGTTGTCGATTTTTCATCAAATTGTATCGGATGCTCAGCTAACAGTTTCTGTGAAATTGTAGGCTATCAACATGACATAATTTCTTATATTTTGATGGTAATTACTTACAAGAGTGACACGAGTGATCTGTTCTTCTGCAGCGCCAATGCCAGTATTTTAACTCTGGATATGTCTTTTACTATGCCGACACTGAGGGCTAGCTGTAGAATACTTTTACTATTCGCCACACACGCCATTATCTTTTTGAATGCGTTGTCGTTGATAACACAATTTCTAAGAGAAAGCATACGCAGTTGTGACCCCAACAGGGCGTCACACATGTCCATGACACGAGTATCGGACAAAGTCTCCCCTGCAATCTCAATCGTGGCCGCCATATTGTTTGACTTGGCGACTCAGGAGTGTATAAAATGGGACCGGAGTCGGATAAAAAAATCCGGACCAAACACGCTAGTTCAATACTTAAAAACTAAAAAAAAGTGAATGTGTGACTTCATTTCACAAATCAATATGTTAAACAATATCTTTCAGGTGGAATAATTTGGTTTTTGAAATATGTCGCAGAATCAAGAATATTGAATTCTGTAAAGCTATTGACTTAAAATGGACCAAATGTAAGTCTCAAAAATTAAAATATGGGCCAAAAATTACAAGTAATCCAAATAGGCATGACACTTAGATATTTTATTACTGACCCAAATTAAGACTTATTTGTCACATTCCTCCATAAATAGGTCAATGCCTGGTAAAAGCCCATTATATATTTTTTGTTAGAACTCCCATGTAAATACTGCTTAAGTTGTATGCTGCCCTCTTACTTCAAGTCAGAATCTGTATCCTGGCCCCTTACTTCAAGTCTGAATCTGTATCCTGGCCCCCTTACTTCAAGTCAGAAGTTGTCTGTTGGCTCCCAAACTTTTAAAATCAGAATTTGTACGTTGACCCCATGAATCTGAGTTAGCAAGTGTAGGTTGGTTTCTTAACCCTGATCCAGAAGTTGTAAGTTAGCCCCTGACTCTGATTGAGATGTTGTATGTTGGCCCTTGAATATAAGTCAGAAGTTGTCTGTTGGGGCCCTTACTCAGAGTCAGAAGTTGTATGTTGGGGCCTTACTCAGAGTCAGAAGTTGTATGTTGGGGCCCTCACTCAGAAACAGATGTTGTATGTTGGGCCCACGAATCTGAGTCAGAAGTTGTATGTTGGGGCCCCTACTCAGAGTCAGATGTTGTATGTTGGGGCCCTTACTCAGAGTCAGATGTTGTATGTTGGGGCCCTTACTCAGAGTCAGAAGTTGTATGTTGGGGCCTTACTCAGAGTCAGAAGTTGTATGTTGGGGCCCTCACTCAGAAACAGATGTTGTATGTTGGGCCCACGAATCTGAGTCAGAAGTTGTATGTTGGGGCCCCTTCTCAGAAACAGATGTTGTATGTTGGGGCCCTTACTCAGAGTCAGAAGTTGTATGTTGGGCCCACAAATCTGAGTCAGAAGTTGTATGTTGGGGTCCTTACTCAGAGTCAGAAGTTGTATGTTGGGGCCCTTACTCAGAGTCAGAAGTTGTATGTTGGGCCCACGAATCTGAGTCAGATGTTGTATGTTGGGCCCACGAATCTGAGTCAGATGTTGTATGTTGGGGCCCTTACTCAGAGTCAGAAGTTGTATGTTGGGGCCCTTACTCAGAGTCAGATGTTGTATGTTGGGGCCCTTACTCAGAGTCAGATGTTGTATGTTGGGGCCCTCACTCAGAGTCAGAAGTTGTATGTTGGGCCCACGAATCTGAGTCAGATGTTGTATGTTGGGGCCCTTACTCATATAACTTATAATTAGAGTTGGGGACCCAACTGACTGAATAAACTCCATTATACCAAGGTAACTAAGAAAATAAACACAAATATACCAGGGTAACTAAGAAAATTAACTCAAATATAACAGGGTAACTAAGAAAATAAACACAAATATACCAGGGTAACTAATACAATAAACACAAATATACCTGGGTAACTAAGAAAATAAACTCAAATATACCAGGGTAACTAAGAAAATAAACTCAAATACACCAGGGTAACTAAGAAAATAAACACAAATATACCAAGGTAACTAAGAAAATAAACTAAAATATACCAGGGTAACTAATACAATAAACACAAATATACCAGGGTAACTAATACAATAAACACAAATATACCAAGGTAACTAAGTAAACTAATACAATAATACAATAAACACAAATATACCTGGGTAACTAAGAAAATAAACTCAAATATACCAAGGTAACTAAGAAAATAAACTAAAATATACCAGGGTAACTAATACAATAAACACAAATATACCAAGGTAACTAAGAAAATAAACTCAAATATACCAGGGTAACTAATACAATAAACACAAATATACCAGGGTAACTAAGAAAATAAACACAAATATACCAAGGTAACTAATACAATAAACACAAATATACCAGGGTAACTAATAAAATAAACACAAATATACCAGGTAACTAAGAAAATAAACTCAAATATAAGGGTTGAAAATAAACTCAAATATACCAGGGTAACTAATACAATAAACACAAATATACCAGGGTAACTAAGAAAATAAACACAAATATACCAAGGTAACTAATACAATAAACACAAATATATGTTGGGTAACTAATACAATAAACACAAATAGAAGTTGTAAACACAAATGTTGGGGCAATAAACACAAATATACCAGGGTAAACACAAATATACCAGGGTAACTAATACAATAAACACAAATATACCAGGGTATAAACACAAATATACCAGGGTAACTAATACAATAAACACAAATATAAGTTGTATGTTTGAAAATAAACACAAATATACAAAACTGAGTCAGATATTGTAATGAAAATAAACTCAAATATGGGTAACTAATACAATAAACACAAATATCCAGGGTAACTAAGAAAATAAACACAAATATACCAAGGTAACTAATACAATAAACACAAATATACCAGGGTAACTAAGAAAATAAACTCAAATATACCAGGGTAACTAATACAATAAACACAAATATACCAGGGTAACTAAGAAAATAAACACAAATATACCAAGGTAACTAAGAAAATAAACTCAAATATACCAGGGTAACTAAGAAAATAAACACAAATATACCAGGGTAACTAATACAATAAACACAAATATACCAGGGTAACTAATACAATAAACACAAATATACCAGGGTAACTAATACAATAAACACAAATATACCAGGGTAACTAATACAATAAACACAAATATACCAGGGTAACTAAGAAAATAAACACAAATATACCAGGGTAACTAATACAATAAACACAAATATACCAGGGTAACTAAATATACCAGGGTAACTAATAAAATAAACACAAATATACCACGGTAACTAAGAAAATAAACACAAATATACCAGGGTAACTAATACAATAAACACAAATATACCAAGGTAACTAATACAATAAACACAAATATACCAAGGTAACTAAGAAAATAAACTCAAATATACCAGGGTAACTAATACAATAAACACAAATATACCAGGGTAACTAATACAATAAACACAAATATACCAAGGTAACTAATACAATAAACACAAATATACCAAGGTAACTAATACAATAAACACAAATATACCAGGGTAACTAATACAATAAACACAAATATACCAGGGTAACTAATACAATAAACACAAATATACCAGGGTAACTAATACAATAAACACAAATATACCAAGGTAACTAAGAAAATAACAATGAAAGCAAAATCTTGTCTAATGTTTATTATCCAAATATGAAATACCTAGAAACATGATGCACATCATAGTTTCAATCAAAGGATCAGAACTGCTTTATAGCAGCGTCTTAAATTGTGAATTTAATATAAAAAATTCTGGGAGATAAAATGTTTTCAGGAAATAAACTCTTTAAATGCACTTGATGGTTGACTTGAGCAATTTTGAGAGCAAGTAGTAAAAGACATCAACATTCTAGAAACGAATTAAACAATCATTTTTACAAGAGTAGTAAATGTTTTCATCCATATAATACTGGTCAGTTTCAACACTCAAAATATTACTTCAAAGGGCATGTAAAAATAATGCTTAAGCTAAACAATGGCACAAGGTTTTAATCAATATTCCATGTTTCATTTTTGTTTTCCATACCGTCATCTTGATATCAATTTTAAACTGGTAAAAATGTGAAAATTTAAAAATGTGAAAATGTGACATGATTAAGCTCAAGGAATAATACATTTGAACACAGCACCATCACTAGAATGTGGGACACCTATTTCCTTGTTGGTAGGAAAATCATTTCATTTTGTACAGGAAAATAACATTTGGTTCTAATTCTATTTTTTTTTTTATTGTCTGCCAAAGTAAAATGAAACAAATTCCAAAATCATCTTGGCATCAAACATGGAATCTTTTCTGATAAAGTCTACAAGTTGTAGTATTTACATAATCACAACACCGTTTGACAGGCAACATTGGGGTAGAGAACAACATCACTGACTACAGATGCTGAATCAAATTAATCATCATTACAATTTCAACTGACTTACCCATAAATATACACACAACATCAAATATCTCTAAAATATAAAAAAAAAACTTTACTAATTCACATTGCACATGTAAAAAAAAGTAAGTAAAACAAATGCCTCTTAGTTTATCATTACTCCTACTAAATTACCGGTATAACTTGACTATTGATTTCCAAACCAACAATCTACATAAAAATATAGACTAAAACTGGCTAACCTATTAATGGCACAGCAGTGGGTTTATACATCATGTACAATGCACTTTAGTAAACACGACTACAAACTTACAAAAATATCTATAATGATACAGTAACATCAACTGGGCAGGACCTGTCCTACACTTGTCTCCATGAACCTTCTGATTACAGATCTGAGGAGAGAGATAATCTGGACACATTAATTTGCTAGAAAGTAACAGGTTTTTATATGGAGACACACTGGTGGACATGAAATGATATTTTGATCAGGAAGGAAATCAGCACAATAGTGCCTTTTTTATGATTAAATAAAGCATAAAAAAGAAGCAACACTATACATCAAGCTCAATATAAAATATGGTGGTTTTTTAAAAACACTAGCGGGATTAAACTTGCGTTTTGTTTAAATCATAAACAAATTCTTTAAAAAATAAATGCTTATTTCAATTTTCTGATGCATTTGTACATAAGTATGTTTTGTTAGTTGTTGTTGAACAAATTTAAAATATGAAGATATGGTAAGGCAATTATGATATAAAATAAAGGAAATATTCAGAAGCATAACAGAATTTTGTATATGTCCTTGACAAGGGTTCCATCCTCCCTTCTCTCTCAACTTCTGCTGTACAGGAGTGTAGAACCAGTCCCCTCATCTCACACTCCTGGCCCTCCACTTCATTTTTCTGTTTTCAAAACAAATAAAAAAAAATCAGATTTCTAGATCATAAAGTTACTGATTTACTGACAGACATTGAGGAAAGGAAAACAAGAGGTGCAATGGGCCTGGTATCCAATATCTTTACAAAGCACATTAAAATCTAATTTATTGAAAGCCTTCTGATCATTCCTAATGGTCACTCCAGCAATGTCAAATTCACTTTGTATAAAAACTTAACATCACTCTAACAATGTTACTTTGTATATAACTTTATGATCACTCTAACAATGTCACCCTGTACATAACTTAGTGATCACTCCATCAATGTCACTTTGTATATAACTTTATGATCACTCTAACAATGTCACCCTGTACATAACTTAGTGATCACTCTAACAATGTCACCCTGTATGTAACTTAATGACCAATTAATTGATGTCACATTAATACTCACCTTCTACATGTTGTTTCAAGCCACAAGATTACAGTCTGCAGGATCAACATCGTCTGGACAACCACAGGTTCGTCCTCCATTTGGTGTTGGCAGACATAAGTATTTACAGCCACCATTGTCTCTGGCACAGGCATTAATGGCTGTTAGATAGAGAAAATGTAAGGTGAGACATAAACATTCCTGACAGTAGATCATAACAAAATCAACAAGTTTATGGTGTTCCTTTAAATGTCTTTATTGTGAGAGGATCACTGTATTACTAGATTACATACCTCGTGGACATGTGGCTCTGACAGCTGTAATACCATACAGCTTCCCGTTCCCTCCGACGGGTAGATCAAGTGGATCACCCACCTCTCCTCCACTATGACTAACCTTCAGTACACCAGGACTGTGGTGAAACAACATACACACACTTGAAAATTTCTCAACACAATATGTATAAATAACTTATGATATAGTTCAAAATGTAACAAATTCAATGTTTCCTGTCAGATGTGTTCACTTTACTTTCAAGTGTCCCTGAAGTTCTTTATCAATGTGAAAAGGAAGGACTGGATACTTGGAAAGTTTCCTTAACCTAGCATTATGAATTCATAAAAACATGACTAACAAATCTAGAATTAATTGCACAATGAGTCATCAAAAATACAATCAATTAATTGATCCCTGCCTTAAACACAATCAAAAGTATTTAAGTGACAAAGGGAAGAAAAGGGTCCTATTAGTGTCCTGTGAAACATCTAGTTACTCACACTGTCCAGTCTGACCAGTAAATGTTGTTACTGACCAGTGCCAGATCAAATGGATAAGCAGCATTATCTACAAGGGTCTTTCTTCCTACACCATCTGAACGTATACATTCTATCTTTCTTACACCTGAAACAAAATAGCCATCAAACTTTATGTAGTTAATTTTTTTGCAGTATTAAGAAATAATAGCCGTAATTACTAGTATTGAACATTTTTCGCTGGTTTGTTGCATAGCCATGATGTTTGTAATGCTAAGTATCTAGGACATGGTTAGAACACTATCAAATATAACAAAAACAAAACAAAAAGTGGCCTTAATAACTGAGAATTTCAACTAGAACTGTCACCAAGAGTTATACGCCTAGCATTTGGATGCTATAATACTTCATTGTAAGAGCTATAAATATGAGTAAATACATAGGATAGTATTGACGGGCAAAACTCGGATAAGCACAAATGAACATGTCAGCAAATATGACTACATTTGCAGCAATGTGGAAAATTCATTGGGGTTGAGGTTATGAATTTGACCTCTGACCCAGTGACCTTGACTTTTGGTTAGTTAACTCCTTGTTTAATTCTGACCAACTTAACCTGCTTCATAATATCATTACATATGCATCAGTGAAAAGATACAATAATTGACTTTGACCCATGACCTTGACCTTTGCTGCAGTGACCTTGACTTTTAATTAGTTGGCTCCTTCTTTAACTCCCATCAACTTTGCTTCATAATTTAAAACAATATGCATTAGTGGAAAGATATAAAACTTGACATTGACCTCTTACCCAGTAACCTCAACATTTGATCATTTGACTCCTTGTTTAATAAGGGTCAAGGTCATTTCTTTTTCGCAAAATTTGTTGGGCTTCATCCTGAGAACTTATCAGCCAAATATCTTGACATTTGGTCTATTGGCTTTTGAGATTTAATTTAATTTGAAAGTTGACACTGGGCGGATCGACAACAGACGATGGAAGGAAGGATGGACGAAAGGATGAATGATAGATGCCCCACCATTGCATAAGTTCACTTGACCCTTAGGGCCAGGTTGGCGAAAAACTCAGGATGGCTATCTGTCAGCCATTATGTTTTCTGATCAGTCCCTCAATCAAACAGTCACAACTAGTGATCAAAGGGAGCCTACATATGAAATTTGAGAAAGATACAAGTACAAGTTCTTCACAAGAAATAGCGATAACAAAAATTGTTTACTAATGGACATAGGTCAATTTGAAAAGCCCACAGTATGATGAGTGGGTGGGGGGGAGGGGGGAGGGGGGCTAAAAATGCATCAGTTAAAAGGTACAAAATTTGACCATGACCTCTTACCCAGTGACATTGTCTTTTTGAAAAAAAAATTCATGCATATCTACATATAACCCTTTATATTGATCTAAATTTTCATTGGAATCGGTTCAACAGAGTTCTACAAAGGATATTTATGGACAGATCAACAGTGTTTCCAGTATACACCCATCCCAAACTTGGGTGGGGGTGAGGAAGGTTACAGTTATGGCAAATGGAGGAAAAAGGGGTAAAAGAGGTACCCTTAGTATTCCAACAAGTGGGCCAGGGCCTTTTATGGTAATCTGACAATCAACCATCAGAGTAAAGAACAGCCCACAGAAAAGAGTTATGTTGGATTTTGGACCAAACTAAAAGATGGTATTTGGTCAGGACAATCTCAGGATCACTTCATGCATTGCCATTCCCTAATAATATTTGACACCAAATTTGATTGAAACTTCTCCAAGCATTAAGGAAGAGAAGCAAAATATTGTCTAACTTCCAATTTTGGGGACCTGCCACCAGGTCCCTTGGGGTCAAATAAACTTTTTGAATAACTAATTGCCCATCCCTAATGATGCTTAAGACAAATTTTGAAAGAAATCCATTCAAATATTATGAAAGAGTAGCATTTTGACAGTGTTTAACTTCCCATTTTGGGGCCCTACCCCTATGGATTAAAACACTACTCCTGCTCAACACCTGGGTGGATTTTAACATTTGGGGTTGGAGAATCATTTCTTGAATTCTAAAAGTTTATTTGACGTTGAAGGTGTAAACATTAACTAAATCCTTTCATGATATTTTATAGAGATATAACATCAATACAGAAGCTTTATACCTTGAGAAGTGAAATAAATTCAATCTTGGGAAACTCCTTGTTTTATCTTGTATGAATACCCCAGGCAAGTAAAGAGACAACTCTGAAGTAAAGCTCAACAGTAAGGACAGGTGAAATGGTATACCTTTCCCTCATTTAACTGTCAAACTTCTCCACCATTTGTCTGAATATCCTACCTGCATCTCCCCAGCAGACCTGTTGTGTGTGGAAGTCTATGGTTAGACCATTAGGTAAGCCAAGATCTGACTCCACCAAAACCTTCCTGTCTTCACCATCCATATAGGCCATTTCAATCTTAGCTCCGGCCCGGTCCCAGTCTGCCCAGTACATCATTCTAAAAATAGAGGTCACATGGTACACTACAAAAAACACAAAAGCAGAGTCTACACATTACACAACACAGAAGCTGAGGTCACATCATACAAAACACAAAACAGAAACAGGGGTCAAACAATATATTACACAAATCACAACAGTACTGAAACAGAGGTCCCACATTACAAAATGCAAAAGCAAGGGTAACACAATACACAACACAGAAAGAGAGGTCACAATAAACAAGATATCCCAGAGGGATCTTGGTGCCCACCATTGTTTAATCATTCTATGCTTTTTCAAAGTTGGATCTTTTCCCTTCTTTTCTCTTCTCCTCTGTGCTTTTGCTTTTAATGATAAGAAATTTGAACATTCCTTTTCAAAAATAGTGATGATAAATTTTATCTGTCATATTCAAGATGGTCGCCTGAAAGCCATTTTGTTTTTTCTTATCAGTCCCAACATCAAAAAGGCACAAGTAGAGACCAAAGGGAACATACTTATGAAATTTGAGAGAAATCCATTCAGTAGTTCTCAAAAAATAGGGATAACAATCTTTACTAGTCAAAATCCAAGATGACCACCTGTCAGCCATTTTGTTTTTCTGATCATTCTCAAAATCAAACGATCACAACTTGGGACCAAAGGGAACCTACATATGAATTTAAGAAAGATGCATCCAGTAATTCTCAAGTAGTAACGATAACAAAACAGAAATAGGGTGATTTAAATAGTCCACCATCTGATGGTGGTGGGCTAACAACACAAAAACAGGGATTACACAATACACAACACAGAAACAGAGGTCACAACAATACACAACACTGAAACAAAAGTCACTTAGTACGTAAAGGTCACACAGTACACAAGGGTCACACAGTACATAAGGGTCACACAGTCCACTACAAAGAAATACAATTACCTGAGTAAACAAGATAACTCACCCTTTAGATGGGTCAAGGACAATGGCCCTTGGGTTTACTAGGTTTCCCTGGATGACAGCCTTTTTGTAGGTCCCATCTAGTCTGGAGGCAGAGATAACATCCAGTCCAGAATCTGTCCAATACAGGTTTCTTGACAGCCAGTCTACTGCCACGCCCTCTGGTGAGCTCAAATCTAGTGGCATTATATATTATAAATTGTTAGCCATTATAATGAAAACGAAATGATTTTGTCAATTCAGATCCGACAGTTTAATGACACTACATTTAGAAAAAGAGTACATGAGATGGGGGCACTTCTGAACAATCAAATCGCTCAGGCCATGAACATCTATACTGAAGTATTTTTTGTAGATTGACTATTTTTTTCAATTTGAGCATGTTCCTCTCATGGTGGCAACAAACCTTTACTTAAACATCAAATACTTCCTGCCCAGTGGTGCTCCTTGTCAAAACTGATGTTACACATATGAAGTATGTGACATGAGCTCATTTGACCATTTTGACCAGGTGTTCTTAATATTTCTAATTCTCAACAACAGAGATAGCCAACTGAGTTTTCCAGTTCTCTCTCAAGTTCATCAATAAGTTATCCCACCAATTCTCCCTCAATTTTTCCTCTTGTTCTTCCACAAGTCGATACATGAATTCTCCCTGAGTTCTTTCCCCCTTTTTCTCCAGCTATCCTCCAAGTTTACCTGTTATAACAGGGGTTGATTCTGTTCCATCCAGGTTAGCACGATGTATTTGTCCATTACTGATGTCTGTCCAGTACATGGTTCTATCCTCACAGTCTGAGTCAATTCCTATGGCTAGCTGACCTGCAACACCCACATTCCATTTCACTTCAGTAAAATATCTCATACTTTTTCTGAATTATCTTATATGTTTAGTTAACTGACATGAAATAAAATTCCAGGTGAAATTTGATAAAAACACATTTTTTTTAAATTCCAGAGACAGGTTAATTTGGGGGAATGATTATTATTAAACATTAACTGTATCACATTTTCAATCCACCTTGCTGGGAAATTGAGGATCTGTTCTACCAAGGGGGACTATCCCATGTTTAGGCGGCAGATAAGGGAGATAATTCCAAACTTGTGAGGAAGATGACTACCAAGGGAGACAATTACATACTTGAAAGATATTGACCACAAAATAAGAGAAGTCTATACTTAGAAAGCTGACGATTACCAATGGAAACATTTCTACATTAATGGGGCAGATGGCTACTACGGCTTTTCCTTGAAGGTTGGTGATTACTAAGGGTGCTAATTGTTTACCAGGGAGATTGATGATTACCAAGGGAGACAATTCTTAATCTTGAAGGTTAATAATTACCAAGGGCTGATAATTCTTTACATTGAAGGTTAATAGTAAATAAGGGAGACAATTTTTCACTTTTAATGTTGATGAATTGTCCTATCTAGGGAGACAATTCCATACTTGGGAGGTAGACCGGAATACCAAGGAGGTGTTGTCTTACCTGGAATATAGAGGACTCTTTTCCCCTTATCATCCTCATTAGGCATATAGGGCATCTGGTGTATGGAGTAGCCACGGGAGAAGAGTAAGTAATTGTTGTCATCATCCATTGCTAAAAAGTAAATCAGCATTTTATCCAGTGATGAATACATAACCACTATTGATTATATCTGGAGTGTAAACATTATTTACATACATTTCCTCAACTATGTACAAGTAAAACGTTATCTAATCAACAATGTCATACTGAATTTAAATTTCACAAAGTAAGTATACACAAAATATGTAAATCTATCTGCTTGAAAATCCCCATATACACCATATATAAATGACCTACTTCTACAGTGATGTCCACCTTACCACAAGTTCTCATTACAATACAAATGAAGCCTACATTGTATCTACCCAATATTCTGTTTACAAACACAAAGACCTACCAACAAAGTGAAGTCCATCCCCTTAAAAACTTTTGGCCACATACACAAATGACCTACCAATACAGCGAAGTCCATCTCCCCGGAAGTTTTCATTACATACACAAATGAAGGTGTCAACATTGAGAACACAGGCAGCATTTGGATCACAGATGCGGGGGTCCCTCCTACAGTTGTTTCCTGTCAACAATATGAAATAATAGCGTTCTGAATTCAAAGAATTAAAACTAAAAGACAATTTTTTCCTTCTAACTTTTCTAATTCCCAAATCCAGATGTTTTAACGTTTTCTTGAAATATTTTGAATTTATACCTTTTCAAGCAAAAAACTGCTTTCCAATTACACAATTGATTTTTCCCCCAAAAATTCAGTTTTTCTTATACTTATGTTTTTTAATTAAGTCTTTCCCCTGGACATTTAGTATTTCCACACACATATTTTCATTCATCTCTATAAAATTCAAACATTCCTCTTCAAGTTTTCCACATTTCAGTTTTACCCCCAGATATCATAAAGTGACATCAGTGTCTTTTACACGTAGTTACTCTGTATATATGACTTGATTTTCACAAAGAATACCTCGTGGTCTGCATATTTGGCCGTTGCCTTCATAACCAGAGGAGCAGCGACACCTGTAGGACATCTCATCTGGACTGTAAACACACTCAGCATTCTCACCACAGTTAAACACCTGATTGCAGGGAGTCACTGAAACACAACGCACAGGGAGTGAGTGTAATACAAAGCACAAATACATAAAGTAAAACACCTCGTTTCAGGGAGTCACAATTGCAGGGAAAGTGTCACTGTCATTCTACAATTGGTAATCATTCATTTGACCTTTCACCTAGGATACAAACCTGTAAAGCAATCCCAGGGGTCCCCCCACAGAAGCAGCATGTGTACCATATATAGGCATGATGAACTAAAACAAACACAAGTCTATGCATGGAAATGAAAAAGTGATCTTAAATCTAATTTTAGTAAAAGATCACATGACAGCTGACCTAAAAATCATATGACATATTGTAGAAAGCCTACCAGAAAAGACCAGGTCATGTTAACTTTGACCTAAAAAACTGAAAAGAAAACATATTTCCCAAATATTTAAGTAGACAAGAATGACAATAAAGAACAGAAGTTGTTGCATGAAGCCATAGTGGGCAGATGGAGAGACAGTAAAAAAAAAAACCCAATGTAACATGAGGCAGCCATAATATCTAAATATGTCTATATAAACAGATACAGATGTAAGTGACATATATACCTCTCTGTCTGCACATCAGGCCGTCACCATCATATCCAGGATTACAACGACACACGTAGCGATTATCAACACGTGGATCAGGAACACACTGGGCATTATAATCACAATTCCTTGTCACACTACAGTCGTCTGGTTGGCATACAATTCCATCACCTGTTGAGTAAATATATCTATGTCATACTCTTACTAAACATCCAAGTACCTGTGTTTCTGTGTACTTTTATCTGTATTTCTGTGTACATGTACCTGTGTTATATATACATTTACCTGTATTTCTGTGTACATGTACCTGTGTTATGTATATATTTACCTATAGTTCTGTGTACATGTACCTGCGTTATGAATACATTTACCTGTATTTCTGTGTACATGTACCTGTGTTATGTATATATTTACCTGTATTTCTGTGTACAGGTACCTGTGTTATGTATACATTTACCTGTATTTCTGTGTACATTTACCTGTGTTATGTATACATATACCTATAGTTCTGGGTACATGTACCTGTTTTATGTATACATTTACCTATAGTTCTGTGTACATTTACCTGTGTTATGTATACATTTACCTATAGTTCTGTGTACATGTACCTGTTTTATGTATACATTTACCTATAGTTCTGTGTACATGTACCTGTGTTATGTATATATTTACCTGTATTTCTGTGTACATGTACCTGTGTTATGTATACATTTACCTGTATTTCTGTGTACATGTACCTGTGTTATGTATATATTTACCTGTATTTCTGTGTACATGTACCTGTGATTCCGTGTTACCTGGTATATTTTATATACCATATACCCAGGTATATTTGTAATTTGTAATACTATGTCATCACTGTTGAAGAGTTTACCATATTTTACATCTGTAAGGAATTAAATAATTACATAATTGCAAAAAGGAACTACATAATTTTATAGAGAATTACATAATCAAATACCAGGTACATAAAAGATTACATCATTGCATATTTTTCAGGTTTTTTATGGTTCAAATGTTTGTGGTTTTATGAAAAGCTTGTAGGTTGTATTTTTGTAAAATTATAACACAAATTTTGGTTACCTAGATAGATTTCATATTCAGTGTACCTACTGAATATAATTTTATCATTGTCAATCCTTTAAAAGTAGAAATTCTTAAAAATTCAATTTACATTGTCTAGACAAGAAAATACTTACCTGTGTAACCATATCTACACAGACATCTAAATCCTCCAAAGATTGTATCGTTAACACAGTCTGCATACATGTGACAGTTCTGCTGGGTACGGCAATCCAACGGAGCACAATAAAAACCATCACCTGAGTAACCAGGGGAACACTGACAGGTGTACTGACGAGCCACATCGTCATACACACATCGGGCATTCTGGTGGCAGTCCGCACACTGGTCTGGTACAGCTTATAACATATCAATTATTGGTAGTGAAATTCTAGTGACATATAACAATATAACACTATGATAACACATACCACATCTATCAGGAGTGTGATTCTACTGACATATAACAATAGTAAAACTATGATAACACATACCTAATCTATCAGGAGTGTGATTCTACTGATGTATAACAATATAACACTATGATAACACATACCTAATCTATCAGGAGTGTGATTCTACTGATGTATAACAATATAACACTATGATAACACATACCTAATCTATCAGGAGTATGATTCTACTGATGTATAACAATATAACACTATGATAACACATACCAGATCTATCAGGAGCGTGATTCTACTGATGTATAACAATAATAACACTATGATAACACATACCAAATCTATCAGGAGTGTGATTCTACTGACGTATAACAATAATAACACTACGATAACACATACCAAATCTATCAGGAGTGTGATTCTACTGATGTATAACAATATAACACTATGATAACACATACCTAATCTATCAGGAGTGTGATTCTACTGATGTATAACAATATAACACTACGATAACACATACCTAATCTATCAGGAGTGTGATTCTACTGACATATAACAATAGTAAAACTATGATAACACATACCTAATCTATCAGGAGTGTGATTCTACTGATGTATAACAATATAACACTATGATAACACATACCTAATCTATCAGGAGTGTGATTCTACTGATGTATAACAATATAAAACTATGATAACACATACCTAATCTATCAGGAGTGTGATTCTACTGATGTATAACAATAATAACACTATGATAACACATACCAAATCTATCAGGAGTGTGATTCTACTGACGTATAACAATAATAACACTACGATAACACATACCAAATCTATCAGGAGTGTGATTCTACTGATGTATAACAATATAACACTATGATAACACATACCTAATCTATCAGGAGTGTGATTCTACTGATGTATAACAATATAACACTACGATAACACATACCAAATCTATCAGGAGTGTGATTCTACTGACATATAACAATAATAAAACTATGATAACACATACCTAATCTATCAGGAGTGTGATTCTACTGATGTATAACAATATAACACTATGATAACACATACCTAATCTATCAGGAGTGTGATTCTACTGATGTATAACAATATAACACTATGATAACACATACCAAATCTATCAGGAGTATGATTCTAGTGACGTATAACAATATAACACTATGATAACACCAAATCTATCAGGAGTATGATTCTAGTGACGTATAACAATATAACACTATGATAACACATACCAAATCTATCAGGAGTGTGATTCTACTGACGTATAACAATATAACACTATGATAACACATACCAAATCTATCAGGAGTGTGATTCTAGTGATGTATAACAATAATAACACTATGATAACACATACCAAATCTATCAGGAGTGTGATTCTACTGATGTATAACAATATAACACTATGATAACACATACCAAATCTATCAGGAGTGTGATTCTAGTGACGTATAATAATAATAACACTATGATTACACATACCAAATCTATCAGGAGTGTGATTCTACTGACGTATAACAATAATAACACTACGATAACACATACCAAATCTATCAGGAGTGTGATTCTACTGATGTATAACAATATAACACTATGATAACACCAAATCTACCAGGAGTGTGATTCTACTGACATATAACAATAAGAACACTATGATGACACATACCAGATCTATCAGGAGTGTGATTCTACTGACATATAACAATAAGAACACTATGATGACACATACCAGATCTATCAGGAGTGTGATTCTACTGACATATAACAATAAGAACACTATGATGACACATACCAGATCTATCAGGAGTGTGATTCTACTGACATATAACAATAATAACACTATGATGACACATACCAGATCTATCAGGAGTGTGATTCTACTGACGTATAACAATATAACACTATGATGACACATACCAGATCTATCAGGAGTGTGATTCTACTGACATATAACAATAATAACACTATGATGACACATACCAGATCTATCAGGAGTGTGATTCTAGTGACATGACCTTGTACATCAAACTGTTCTATGATATAAAGAGATGTATGTATACTATCATCTCTGTGAACCACATATGTAAGATATATATATGTTGTTATTTAAATATATTTTGTTACGATGAAACACCCAGTATCCTGTCATTTTTCTGCTGCCTTTCTAGGTAAAAATGTCAGTAGGTTTACTTACTGATCGGCGTACAGGTCTGGCCGTCTCCAGAGTATCCCTGGTTACATTGACAATACCGTACCAGTCGGCTAGGGTCAAACAAACACTGTGCATCGTCACTACACAGACTGCAATCAGAATCTGTTCCAGAAAAATTACCAGTTTTACAAAAAATGATATATATTCATTATCACATGAGTGTGTTAGGTATGATTTGTAGCAATCTAATATCATATCACTTTTCAATATAAATCAGTGACAGATGTTGTATACCAACGCTGTGACATTCTCAACGATTTATACATATGTCTATTCTATACATGTAACTTTCTCACCTGTATTCTAAACTTCTTCCTGTACATAGATACTCACCTATAAAATAGCATTCACACAGAGTGTTGTCTCTGTTGTATCCTGCACAAACATGCTTACCATAACCCTATACTATACTGTTCACACACGCAGAAATCGTTGCTGTATCCCCGGTTAGGTTTAATATATACTGATGAGATACCTATACCGTTCACACACTTTTGAAGCATTGCTGTAACCCTGGTTATGTTAACTGTATACTGATGAGATACCTATACCGTTCTCACACTTTTGAATCATTGCTGTATCCCCGGTTATGTTTACTGTATACCGATGAGATACCTATACCGTTCACACACTTTTGAATCGTTGCTGTTTCCCTGGTTACGTTTACTGTATACTGATGAGATACTCACCTATTCCATACCGTTCACACACTGTGCCATCACCGCTGTATCCTTCATTACATTCACAGATATACTTGTCCTCCTGATCATTGTAAACACACTCAGCGTCCTGATGACACACATCTACTTCATTACAGTTGAATTCTGTAATCAAAGACCACATGTAGGTATGTTTATACAGTGTGACTCAGGATAAGGTAACTTTGGAACCAAACATTCTTAAGTAGAACAGTCTCCAAGATGGCTGACTAACACCCTTCCCAAATAGTTACGGAGAGGTTGTCCCGACCCGAGTCTTCTATGAGGCCTTAATTTGGTCACCATGGCAACCTTTTTTTCCCTCAAAAATGGTATCATTGTATTTGTCATCCCCCTAAACCTTTTTATACCAACTTTCAACTTTACCAAATGATATCTTAATTTCAACTAATCAGAAGCCTCCATTGTGCTCCTATTAAGTTCAATCATTTTGGAACACCTTATAGGTATGTCAAATTACAGGCTAAAATTAGCGGTATCACTTGATCAAGTTTAAACATAATCAATTAAAGGGCTAAGAGCTATGGCACCTTATATGAAAACTTGTGTATAGTGACCTGGTTACCATGGCAATCCAAATTTCTGCTGAAAAGTCCTTTTGCACATCTACACATAGTCCCTACCTAACATTCCTGTGTAGTTTCATTGAAATCAGTCCACAGCATTAGGAGCAGTCTAGAAAATATCCTTATATGGTTACCATAGCAACCAAATTTTTTGAAAATGGCACCATTGGATTTGCCTTCCTTTAAAACCTTTACATTTCAATTTTCAGCACAGTCAGACAATATTTCAATTTCAACCTATCAGAAGCCTACATCAAGTTTTCGTAGAAACAGTTCTGGAAACAACTGATGAGTTAACTTCCAGACATTGATACACCACTTCACCAAGTATCAATGAAATTGATCCAAGGATTGATGAGTTATGGCCATTACATAAAAAACTGTTTATAGTGACCTTGTTACCATGGCAACCCAAATTTCTGCTGAAAAAAACCTGTATGTACATCTTCATATGGTGGTCAATGATCTTGTGCAGTGTCATTGAAATCTTTCCACAAGTTTAAGTGGAGCTGTCTGAACGAAATTTTCCTACAGACAGACAAGCTGATTCAAGTATAATCTATTCCCACCTCCAACTTCATTGCCGAGGGGTGTAATGATACCTTAAACACTGAGTAAACAGTATCAACATGCATGCTTACCAGCTGAACAGTAGTTGACTCCATCCCCACGGAACCCCTGACGACACTCACACATTGGCTTGCCTAAATCACTGTTGTACACACAGCGGCCGTTCTCATGACAAATATCATCTCCACATCGCTGGACTTCACCTTCAACACCAATAAGGAGAGCATTTTTCCTTGAGTTGTAAAGACATATTCGGGTGTTTAGTTTGTTCCATGAAAACTAATAGGATATTTCCCTAGTTTTAGGATAGGAGAGAGATATCTCTATCAAAAGAGGAGATTCTTGGCTGTCTAACACAAAGCTTTATCTAGCTTTAGGGTAGGAGAGAGATATCTCTATCGTTAGAGGAGATTCTTGGCTGTCTAACACAAAGCTTTATCTAGCTTTAGGGTAGGAGAGAGATATCTCTATCGTTAGAGGAGATTCTTGGCTGTCTAACACAAAGCTTTATCTAGCTTTAGGGTAGGAGAGAGATATCTCTATCAATGGAGGAGATTCTTGGCTGTCTAACACAAAGCTTTATCTAGCTTTAGGGTAGGAGAGAGATATCTCTATCAATGGAGGAGATTCTTGGCTGTCTAACACAAAGCTTTATCTAGCTTTAGGGTAGAGAGAGAGCAATGGAGGAGATTCTTGGCTGTCTAACACAAAGCTTTATCTAGCTTTAGGGTAGGAGAGAGATTCGTTAGAGGAGATTCTTGGCTGTCTAACACAAAGCTTTATCTAGCTTTAGGGTAGGAGAGAGATATCTCTATCAATGGAGGAGATTCTTGGCCGTCTAACACAAAGCTTTATCTAGCTTTAGGGTAGGAGAGAGATATCTCTATCAAAAGAGGAGATTCTTGGCTGTCTAACACAAAGCTTTATCTAGCTTTAGGCTAGGAGAGAGATATCTCTATCAAAAGAGGAGATTCTTGGCCGTCTAACACAAAGCTTTCCCTAGCTTTAGGGTAGGAGAGAGATATCTCTATCGTTAGAGGAGATTCTTGGCTGTCTAACACAAAGCTTTCCCTAGCTTTAGGGTAGGAGAGAGATATCTCTATCAATGGAGGAGATTCTTGGCTGTCTAACACAAAGCTTTCCCTAGCTTTAGGGTAGGAGAGAGATATCTCTATTGTTAGAGGAGATTCTTGGCTGTCTAACACAAAGCTTTCCCTAGCTTTAGGGTAGGAGAGAGATATCTCTATCAATGGAGGAGATTCTTGGCCGTCTAACACAAAGTTTTCCCTAGCTTTAGGGTAGGAGAGAGATATCTCTATCAATGGAGGAGATTCTTGGCCGTCTAACACAAAGTTTTCCCTAGCTTTAGGGTAGGAGAGAGATATCTCTATCGTTAGAGGAGATTCTTGGCTGTCTAACACAAAGCTTTCCCTAGCTTTAGGGTAGGAGAGAGATATCTCTATCGTTAGAGGAGATTCTTGGCTGTCTAACACAAAGCTTTCCCTAGCTTTAGGGTAGGAGAGAGATATCTCTATTGTTAGAGGAGATTCTTGGCTGTCTAACACGAAGTTTTCCCTAGCTTTAGGGTAGGAGAGAGATATCTCTATCGTTAGAGGAGATTCTTGGCCGTCTAACACAAAGCTTTCCCTAGCTTTAGGGTAGGAGAGAGATATCTCTATCAATGGAGGAGATTCTTGATTATCCTCGGAGGGTTCTTTTTCACTCTCAAGTTAGTGAAGGATCCTGTCTATGCTTGAGATTCCATATACCCATAGAGATAAAACGATGACACACATGTGCTTTATCAAAACCATATCTTGATTGTTTTACAAAGAAATTGAAACTGAAGGTGAATACTCACGTGTACAGGTTCGTCCATCTCCACGGTAACCAGGTAAGCACTGACATTGGAAACTCCCAGGTACATTGTAACAGCGAGCATTCGCATCACAGAGATCATTGTATACAATGCACTCATTAATATCTGTACAAGGCAACAAAGATTGGATTTAACAATAAAGTATTCAATATAAGGATTTTACAATACATTATTCAATGTTGTACCAATTCAGTATTCAATGTAAGGTTGTAACAAAACAGTATTCAATGTAAGGTTGTAACAATTCAGTATTCAATGTAAGATTGTAACAAAACAGTATTCAATGTAAGGTTGTAACAATTCAGTATTCAATGTAAGATTGTAACAATTCAGTATTCAATGTAAGGCTGTAACAATTCAGTATTTAATGTAAGGTTGTAACAATTCAGTATTCAATGTTAGATTGTAACAATTCAGTATTCAATGTAAGGTTGTAACAATACAGTTACAATGTAAGATTGTAACAATACAGTTACAATGTAAGATTGTAACAATTCAGTTACAATGTAAGATTGTAACAATTCAGTATTCAATGTAAGATTGTAACAATTCAGTATTCAATGTAAGGTTGTAACAATTCAGTATTCAATGTAAGATTGTAACAATACAGTATTCAATGTAAGGTTGTAACAATTCAGTATTCAATGTAAGGTTGTAACAATTCAGCATTCAATGTAAGGTTGTAACAATTCAGTATTCAATGTAAGGTTGTAACAATTCAGTATTCAATGTAAGATTGTAACAATTCAGTACTTAATGTAAGGTTGTAACAATTCAGTATTCAATGTAAGGTTGTAACAATTCAGTATTCAATGTAAGATTGTAACAATTCAGTATTCAATGTAAGGTTGTAACAATACAGTATTCAATGTAAGATTGTAACAATTCAGTACTTAATGTAAGGTTGTAACAATTCAGTATTCAATGTAAGATTGTAACAATACAGTATTCAATTCAGTATTCAATGTAAGATTGTAACAATTCAGTATTTAATGTAAGGTTGTAACAATTCAGTATTCAATGTTAGATTGTAACAATTCAGTATTTAATGTAAGGTTGTAACAATTCAGTATTCAATGTAAGGCTGTAACAATACAGTATTCAATGTAAGGTTGTAACAATTCAGTATTCAATGTAAGATTGTAACAATACAGTTACAATATAAGATTGTAACAATTACAAGTATTAACAATGTAAGATTGTAACAATACAGTTACAATGTAAGATTGTAACAATACAGTTACAATGTAAGGTTGTAACAATACAGTTACAATGTAAGATTGTAACAATACAGTTACAATGTAAGATTGTAACAATACAGTTACAATGTAAGGTTGTAACAATACAGTATTCAATGTAAGGTTGTAACAATACAGTTACAATGTAAGGTTGTAACAATACAGTTACAATGTAAGGTTGTAACAATACAGTATTCAATGTAAGGTTGTAACAATTCAGTATTCAATGTTAGATTGTAACAATACAGTTACAATGTAAGATTGAACTAGAGCAGTCATTCTTCATTTCCTCAATGCCTCTGATGGGATCCAACCCAGGACCTCTGACTGTCTAACTCTTCATTAAGCAGTAGGCTATACTACTTTACCCTTACCCACACATAGTTGACATTCTGTCCTTCCAGTCATTCCTTACCTTGACATGATCCTCCATCATCTTGGAATCCAGATAGACAAGAACAGATAAAGGATGATCCATCAGGGGTACACTCTGAGTACTGCCCACAAACCTCTGCAGCATCTCGGCATGGATCAGAATCTACAATAGTCAGTATTGTCAGTAAAATAAAACCTTTACAAAATCTTATCCGCTAGAAGGTGGAAAAGCCGAAAAAGTGGACGTAAAACTTGTTAACTAAATAAATCTTACAAATTCTAAGTGATTGTGAAAAGTGGACAGACAGCTGAGATTAGGGAGGAACATCAGTGGAAAGGATAGTGTAGATAGATACCTGTTAGTGCAGCTATCTGGTTTGTCATAGCATATCGCAGAATTTCATTGAGGTTGTCATAGATGACTCGGTTACGCTTGCTGCTGAGCCTCATGGTGTCTCGCTGTGGTTCAGGGTCATAGATACATTCGTTAAACATGATAGTCTGATTCCATGTGTACTGGTACGATACACCATCCACGAGATAGGTCCGTGTTGAGTAGGAGGTGATTACACCTAAATCAACAAGTTATAAGTACAATAAAATACAGGAATATTCAACATTATCTCTAACTTCAGCACCTGGATCCTTCAAAGTTAACATTTATTAAACATTCTTTCACTTTACTTCATGTGAGCATTATCTATATATATTCAAACTTCATAAATGTAAAAACTGAATTCCATTTTTTTCAAACTTTACAAATATGTCAAACACAAATACAAAAATTTACATTTACCATGATTGCTAGTGACATAGTTACCATGGTTTCTTTGTGATATAATTACCAGAATACCTAGTGAATGAAATCATTTCCATGTATCCCAGTGAAACAGTATCCATGGTTTCTAGTGATATAGTACCATGTATCCCAGTGAAACAGTATCCATGGTTTCTAGTGATATAGTACCATGTATCCCAGTGAAACAGTATCCATGGTTCCTGGTGACATAGCTACCATGTATCCCAGTGAAACAGTATCCATGGTTCCTGGTGACATAGCTACCATGTATCCCAGTCAAACAGTATCCATGGTTCCTGGTGACATAGCTGCCATGTATCCCAGTGAAACAGTATCCATGGTTCCTGGTGACATAGCTACCATGTATCCCAGTCAAACAGTATCAATGGTTCCTGGTGACATAGCTACCCTGTATCCCAGTCAAACAGTATCCATGGTTCCTGGTGACATAGCTACCACGTATCCCCGTGAAACAGTATCCATGGTTCTTGGTGACATAGCTACCATGTATCCCAGTGAAACAGTATCCATGGTTCTTAGTGACTCAGTTATCATAGTTGCTAATGACAGTTAACATGGCTCCCAGTAACACAGTTACCTTGGTTGCTAGGGGCTTAGTAACCATGATGAAGAGTTACCAGTTATATGATAGATTATATAATCGTAGGAGATTTTTAACTCACCACGGCCAGCATGTACATACTCCTCCTTGTAGTCCCCGACAGTCACTTTGCCACCATTAACCACCTCTGGGACAACACCGCTGATTTGTGTTTCAAGTCCAGTTTGGTCCAGGGTATCTTGACCAAAGAACCTCTGACGTAGTGTGACTACCTCTCCACTCTGGTAGGAGATGACTGCTGTTCTGTTAAATTCTCCACCTATCAAACACATTAAATATACGACATGATAAACCATTTTGCAGAGTAGATACAAATTTCTTCCTACATATGTACTCAGGCATTGTCATGCCATTATAATCTGTGTGCTTGTAATTACATGTGTAATTAAAACAATTAATTATTACCACGATGATTGTATCTACCTGTGATCATAAATCCATTGCGAGCCAGGGGACCGTTGGGGAGGGCAAACATCCAGCCAATTATTCCACCGATGGTGTTCAGTGTGAGCATGAGGGTTCCCAGCTCTGGTGAAACTTGACTGATTGCAGTGTAGGCACGGCCGTCAGATGTCACTACATAGGCATGCATGTCCAGGTTGTCAATAGAGACACCATTTAGGGTTCCATACACCTTGCCATTTAGTCGCTGGGGTGCCTCTATAAAATAAACACTATCCTGTGACTTCAGTTTCAGTTGATGGAAAAAAATCACATTGACAAACAGCATTTGTTAATAAAATATTTGGCAAAAGCAGAAATACCAACATTATCTGCACAAAACCTAACCAATCATTCTGAGATTTCAAGTTAGTGAATATCAGAATGTAAGTAAATTTATCAATTGTGGAGTAACATCACTGACCGACTTACCAAATGTAAGACAGTTACGTCCATTGCCATAACTGGGTGGAATACAAGCACAACAGATACCAAAAGCAAAGTCAAGACAGCGGGCACTGCTATGACACTGCGGATGGGTACCCTCCCTTTGGCAGATCTGGGAAGCTGTATCTGGATCAAAGATTACCACTGAAATAACAGAAAAAAAGGGTTCAAATACTTCTAGTTACACTAACATGTAAGTGTTGTCAGATTTAACATAACCTCACTGTCATTCTGTCCACTGGTGTCCGTCCCTCCCAGTGGGTTGTCAGATATAACATAACCTCACTGTCATTCTGTCCACTGATGTCCCCTCCCCCCAGTGGGTTGTCAGATATAACATAAACTCACTGTCATTCTGTCCACTGATGTCCCCTCCCCCCAGTGGGTTGTCAGATATAACATAACCTCACTGTCATTCTGTCCACTGATGTCCCCTCCCCCCAGTGGGTTGTCAGATATAACATAACCTCACTGTCATTCTGTCCACTGATGTCCCCTCCCCCCAGTGGGTTGTCAGATATAACATAACCTCACTGTCATTCTGTCCACTGATGTCCCCTCCCCCCAGTGGGTTGACAGATATAACATAACCTCACTGTCATTCTGTCCACTGATGTCCCCTCCTCCCAGTGGGTTGTCAGATATAACATAACCTCACTGTCATTCTGTCCACTGATGTCCCCTCCTCCAAGTGGGTTGTCAGATATAACATAAACTCACTGTCATTCTGTCCACTGATGTCCCCTCCTCCCAGTGGGTTGTCAGATATAACATAACCTCACTGTCATTCTGTCCACTGATGTCCCCTCCCCCCAGTGGGTTGTCAGATATAACATAACCTCACTGTCATTCTGTCCACTGATGTCCCCTCCCCCCAGTGGGTTGTCAGATATAACATAACCTCACTGTCATTCTGTCCACTGGTGTCCGTCCCTCCCAGTGGGTTGTCAGATATAACATAACCTCACTGTCATTCTGTCCACTGATGTCCCCTCCTCCAAGTGGGTTGTCAGATATAACATAAACTCACTGTCATTCTGTCCACTGATGTCCCCTCCTCCCAGTGGGTTGTCAGATATAACATAACCTCACTGTCATTCTGTCCACTGATGTCCCCTCCTCCAAGTGGGTTGTCAGATATAACATAAACTCACTGTCATTCTGTCCACTGATGTCCCCTCCTCCCAGTGGGTTGTCAGATATAACATAACCTCACTGTCACTCTGCCCACTGATATCTCCTCTCCAAGTGTGTTTGAAGTATAACTTACCATCACCATCATCCTCTTCTGGTCCACGGATATCTTCTCCTAGTGTGTTACCAATCTTGTACATCCACACTCCTGCTACACCGACATTTGATTCTCTATAAAAACAAGAGGCCAAATGTGCCTGAATTTGTCATCACAGCCAACACAGAAGGCCTTGTCAGTTCATTACGTCAATACATGTACTTTCAAACCTGAAAGCCTATTTCACAAGTATACTACTACACAAACATCATGACCCAGAGCTATTACTTGCTGAAAAGAAAAAAAAATAAAGTTATTCACACATTTGACCCCTGTGACCTTGAAAGTGGGTCAGGGCCAATCATCGAAACATACCCAACAGCCTATCATTCCAGTATGATGGGCGTTTTGGTTGTTGAGAAGAAGTTGTTTTAACTGAAAAGGTGACGCCAGACAGAGGAACAGCAGACTTGTATATATACCAGTATTGTGAGTGATTCCTGTATGTGTATTATACACCTGTGCTTTGTGTGGTACACCTGTTTCGTGTGAGATACACATGTGAAAAAAATGTTTTGTGTGAGATACACATGTGAAAAGAAATGTTTTGTATGAGATACACATATGAAATACCGTACACCTGTGAGACACATCTGTTTTGTGTGAGATACACATGTAAGATACAAATGTGTTGTGTGAGATGCACATGTGTGATATATCCTGTGCTTATATGAGTACACCTACTGAGCTAGTCTTGTTACTTCCTCTGTGCCTGAGTAGGGTAGTTTGGTATGGACACGTCCTTCCCCAGAGTCAAATCCTGCCTGAGCAGGAGGATCACTCCGTGTGGGGAACAGTTTCCCAGAACTCTGAATCCAGTTTATCCCATCATCCAAATAGTAAAAACAAGCAAAGGAACTCTCACCATCAGTAGCAATCACAATTTGGAAAGTGTTTAACTGGAATAAAGAAAAATGATAAAAACCTCATTTTACATTTAGAATATTAACAATTAAAATCATCGTACTACCTTACATCCTATAAACATTCCATCTCCTGTGATTTTATATGATTAGAAGTAAAGTTCAGAATTGTATATTAAGGTGCCATTGTTCTTGGGAAAGTTCTATTAGTTACATAAGTCTCTGGCAGAGTCAGGTTCTTCTATGCCCTGAAAGCTGACAGAGAACATGATAATGTATACCCTTTTGAAAATTTGTTGATGAATTAGTCAAACTGCAAGGCCATTACGAGGACCATTATAAACCGCAAAAAATGGCATGATCATTTCTTCATATACTAAGATAGATGTCTGAATATTTATGTACCTAGCTAACCTTCATCCAATAACAGACTAGTTGATAAAATTTTCTTTGCAGTATAATGTCTAATGAGAACTTACCATAGTGTCATTGGTCCTATAGAAGCCGACATTGTCCCATGTAACTATAAAAAGGGAGCGAGGGATGTATGTTTCAAAACCATCAAACTGAGCCTGGATATCTTGAGCTGCCTTTTCCAGTAATGCTGTCTCTGTAGATTCTCTGTAACACACACAATTTTTTTATTTGATGTAACATAAACAAATTACTTTTAAGTCAATGTTTTTTTCATCAGATGTTCTGTGTCATGGTAACACTTTGACAGACAGGAGCTGGTGGTGAGTTGAGGATAAGTCATTTGCCAATTCTTCAGAAAATATTGTTTTAAGTTTTTGATATTTTGACTCTGTAACCTTGAAACTATGTCAAATTTATGTTATGAAGAGCTCTATCTTTGGTACTCATGGGTCAAATGTTATGATCCTGTGGGCCCTGGATTCTAAAAACTTTTCACAAATTACAGTCTATGTTAAAGTTTACCACAACAATCTTCGACCTTTGAACTAAACAAAATATATCAGATAAGGATTTGCACTTCTGGTCTACATAACATTCCAAAGTGTTACCGTTATTGGGCTTATGGTTGTTTGGTTGTTGTGACACTGAAAAGGTCAAGGTCACTCGATTGGAAACTTTACAACATCACATTCCAGGTAAATACTTGGCAAACACCATGACAATTGGTCTTATGAAACTTGAGAAGAAGATTTTTAAAAAGGTTGTCATTTGCCTTAAACATTTTCCAACAGAGTAACCTTGAAACAGGTAAAGGTCAATGTCTAACTCAACCATCAATAGTTAGTTAAAGAATAGATATCACCAGTAATACCAAGTGAATCAGACAAATTAAAGTATGGCGAGGTAACTTAATGAGTACATGTTATCAATGCTTCCCTTGTACATGTCATTTACTGCTTTGATTCTGCTGGAGAAGTGTTTTCTCTAATTTAAGATGTATTTTATTTTTTACAGCTATAGATGATATAGTGAACATGTAAGATGCACATATGTACATGAAAAACGTGGCGAACATAAAACTGACCTGTGCTATCACATAAAGTGAAAAAAACCCACCTGTAATACACTGATCCAGCGAATGTTGTGTCTATGTCTGCCAGGAATGCTGCTATCAACTTAAACCGACTTGGCAGTACAAAGTTTGCCTGATATACTGGCAGCTCGGATTCAAATGATAAATGTCCATTGTTGTTTACCTAACAAGAAAAAAAAGGAGAGAAATTAGAGTAATTGTTGTTAGACCCATCGTTTATGCAAAAATTATTGTCTTTCACCCAAGCATGCTTTAGACCAAATTAATAGATTTTCCCCCTTGGGCCATGCCCCTCATATAGGTCACCCTGTCAACCAGTCAAAACATATTAAAGTGTTACACAACATGTGGTATAACATGTATCTTTATACAACAGTAGGTCTTGTTGAGTAAACAACCACTTAAAGTTGTAGAATTAATTACTGACCATGCATTATAATGACAATTGACAAACCTGTCATTACACCACAACGATTCTGGGTTCCAAGTGATTTTGTCTCAAATGCAATGATCCTGCTAGGAACCGCTTTACATTTTAAAATGAATATTGAAATAAATCCTTAACTAGTACTAGAGGTTAAATTGCAAAGACTGAATTATATTATGTACCTGGAGTGTACTGTAACTAGGAATGATATTATATTCCTGAAAAATTGAATCATGCCATAACTGGGAGTAAATTATACTGCAACATTGTAACAAGGAATTGACTATAGTCCCAGGCAAAGTCTGAACTATATCATAACTAGAGTTTGAACTATAGTCCCAGGCAGAGTCTGAACTATATCATAACTAGGGATTGAACTATAGTCCCAGGCAAAGTCTGAACTATATCATAACTAGGGTTTGAACTATAGTCCCAGGCAGAGTCTGAACTATATCATAACTAGGGTTTGAACTATAGTCCCAGGCAAAGTCTGAACTATATCATAACTAGGGATTGAAGTATAGCCCCAGACAAAGTCTGAACTATATCATAACTAGGGATTGAACTATATACCCAGGCAGAGTCTGAACTATATCATAACTAGGGATTGAAATATAGTCCCAGGCAAAGTCTGAACTATATCATAACTAGGGATTGAAATATAGTCCCAGGCAAAGTCTGAACTATATCATAACTAGGGATTGAAGTATAGCCCCAGACAAAGTCTGAACTATATCATAACTAGGGATTGAACTATATCATAACTAGGGACTGAACTATAGTCCCAGGCAAAGTCTGAACTATATCATAACTAGGGATTGAACTATACACCCAGGCAGAGTCTGAACTATATCATAACTAGGGATTGAACTATAGTCCCAGGCAAAGTCTGAACTATATCATAACTAGGGATTGAAGTATACTGTATACCAAGGAAGTGTTACATATACAGAGTAAGTGTTTATAACGTCTGAAACTAGTTGTTCAGAGTGAATGATACCATATGTAAGTGTACTTTTCCTTATCTACTCTATATATAGGAACGACTTTCATTATTCTACTGTCACTAGTTGTAAATACAAGAGGCCAAGCAGCCTTGAGAGTCACCTGAGATCAGCAATATTGATTATAAAGGTTAAAGGGTAAGTAGCTTTCAAGTGTAATGAAAAAGAAATGGTGACATTGATGACAGTAAGCCAGTGTTAATACATGCATACCATCAAAACTGTCATCCTTTACTAACCATTCTTATAAAGTTATTTCCAGTAGGAAATTCACAATGTTTTGCTCAAAAATGCATTTTTTTCTATAAATATTATAATAAAATTAACCTCCTCCCCAGAAAGAAATGTTGAGCCATTTTGTTAATTAAACCACCTAAGATGCTTCCATCCATGAAAGTATTTGATTCTACTACACTGGGAGTTGAGAAGAAAATTGTTTAAAGTTAAGTCAATTTGACACCTTTTGGCCCCGCCCATCAGCTCCTGGGGTCAGATAGGATCAATATATGTGAATACCATCTAGTTGTCATCCTTCACTCATAATTCTAACCAAGTTTGAAATATTTCCAATGGAAATTAAACACATTTTACTCAAAAACCTATTTTGCTTATATAAACTATAATAAACTTTACCCCCTCCAAGCAGGGAAATGTGAGACCATGGGGCCATGAAATTCACAATTTTGGTAAAGTACCTTAGACACTCTCATTCATGAAGAACATTGGATTATATCATATGTGGGTGTTAAGAAGAGAATGTTTGAAATACCAGTCAATTTGACCCCTTTTTGGTCCCATCAGCCCCTGGAGGTCAGATAGGATCAATATCCCACACCATCAAACCATCATCTTTTGCTCATAATTCTAACTAAGTTAGAAATGTTTCAAATGAAAATTAAACATATTGTGCTCATTTTTTTTATCTATACATGTATAAACCATAGTAAACTTTACCCCCTGCCCACGGGGAAATGCGAGAACCTGGGGCCATGAAATTCACAATTCTGATATACACATCCATGAAGATCATTTGATTCTGCCATATGTGGGTGTTGAGACATTTTTTTGAAATCTGAGTCGATTTGACCACTTTTGGCCCTGCCCGTCAACCCCTGGGTATCTGTCACAATCAATATGAGCATACCATATAGCCGTCATCCTTTGCTCATAATTCTAACCAAGTTTGAAATATTTTGAATGGAAATTAAACAAATTATGCTTAAAAATATATGTTTCCTATATAAACTATAGTAAACTTTACCTCCTCCCCACGGGGAAATGGGAGACCATTGGGCCATGAAATTCACCCTTTTGGTAAAACACTTTAATATGCTTCCATCCACGAAAAGTAATTGATTCTACCATACTTGGGTGTTGAGAAGAAGTTTTTCTATTTTTTTTAAATTTTAGTCAGTTTGACAGTTTTGGCCCCGTCCTTCAGGCCTCTGTGTGATGGGCGCTGTATATTTCACTGCCGTTGTTGATCTTTGGCCAGAGAAGGTTTCTGCAAAATTTCATAGAAATTGGTTCATGGGTTTTTGAGAAAAAGTAGAAAATGTTCAATTTTTTACGGACGCACGATGTACAACGCTTGAGGTGGTCGCAAAAAGATCACCATGAGACTGTCTCAGGTGACCTAACATTTGAGAGCTGTTCACAATCACAATTTGTATGTACACTATATTAGAACAGTATATATACGTGCACACACGCACATCGCATTGCTGGTGATTCCACTTTAATACCATACACATATATAGCATACACTATATTTACTTAAGGCAACATATCATTTGCACAAATTGCACATTTTATAGTAAACGGCACACTTCCGTGCTGATAAAACGCCGCTGTAATCTCGTCACTGATAAACTTTCACCGTCACCCCGATATTTACACATTCACCACTGTTTTCAATTTAAATAATTCCCTTTCCTGTTATACGAATTATAAGCCAAGCCACCTGCGAAGAAAAGTCTTGACATGGTAATGTGAATAATCAGTTTCAAATGGTTCACAGCAGGCACATGTTGAGTGTCTGAGCCAGGAACTGGGAAGCCATGTGGCGAGAACAAGTCATAAAAGCAGGTCTAGGTCAAAGCAAGAATTCTGACGAACAAAAAGTTGGAAACGTCATCACCTGAACGGAAAGAAGTTTTGAGAAAAACAAAAAACAATGTACATGGATCTCCAATCAGTGAGTGTAACTGTTTGTAGAGCGTGGGTACGATAGGGATAATGCCCTGACATGTACCTTCGTTGACATGTCGCTGCAGTGGTTGGTCCTAATTATAAACCCTCGTGACCAGGTCACATTAGTGATTATCCTAATGATGGACCCTCACTGTCAGGTCAAATCAGTCACTGGTTCCAATAACATACCCTAACGGAAAGGTTGTGACTGACACTGATAATGTACGCTCACGGATTTACCCTCATGACAGGTCGTATTGATGACTGACCCCAATCACGTACCCTCACGGACAGGTCGTATTGCTGACTTACCCTAATCACGTACCCTCACGGACAGGTCGTATTGCTGACTTACCCTAATCACGTACCCTCGGGAACAGGTCGTGTTGATGACTTACCCTAATCACGTACCCTCACAGACAGGTCGTATTGATGACTGACCCTAATCACGTACTCTCGGGAACAGGTCGTATTGATGACTGACCCTAATAACGTAACATCACGGACAGGTCGTATTGATGACTGACCCTAATAACGTACCCTCACGGACAGGTCGTATTGATGACTGATCCTAGTAACGTACCCTCACAGACAGGTCGTATTGATGACTGACCCTAGTAACGTACCCTCACAGACAGGTCGTATTGATGACTGACCCTAGTAACGTACCCTCACAGACAGGTCGTATTGATGACTGACCCTAGTCACGTACCCTCACCGTAAGGTCGTATTGATGACTTACCCTAATCACGTACCCTCGGGAACAGGTCGTATTGATGACTTTCCCTAATCACGTACCCTCACAGACAGGTCGTATTGATGACTTACCCTAATCACGTACCCTCGGGAACAGGTCGTATTGATGACTTTCCCTAATCACGTACCCTCACAGACAGGTCGTATTGATGACTTACCCTAATCACGTACCCTCCCAGACAGGTCGTATTGATGACTTACCCTAATCACGTACCCTCACAGACAGGTCGTATTGATGACTTTCCCTAATCACGTACCCTCACAGACAGGTCGTATTGATGACTTACCCTAATCACGTACCATCACAGACAGGTCGTATTGATGACTGACCCTAATCACGTACCCCCGGGAACAGGTCGTATTGCTGACTTACCCTAATCACGTACCTCACAGACTGGTCGTATTGATGACTGACACTAATCACGTACCCTCGGGAACAGGTCCTATTGCTGACTTACCCTGATAACGTAACCCCACGGAGAGGTTGTATTGATGACTAACCCTAATCACGTACCCTCGGGAACTGGTCGTGTTGATGACTGACCCTAGTAACGTACCCTCACGGACAGGCCGTATTGATGACTGACCCTAATCACGTACCCTCGGGAACAGGTCGTGTTGATGACTGACCCTAGTAACGTACCATCACGGACAGGTCGTATTGATGATTAACCTTAATCACCTATCCTCATTAACAGGTTGTCGGCCAGGCCGTATAAGCGACCATTTTTATTTCACCAGCACAAACATGGAAACCTGCAAGCACTATGACAAGAAAGCTATACGTATCATATTAAATTACAGGGAATATTCCCACGGCGTCAACAGGATGTTTGGAATGGACAGACAGCTGTGCTATAGGTCATCCGTCAATCTGCTCCACTTAACTCATGCTATCCTTGATGTGATGACTAGTTGTTTTCTTAGTCTATTGTAAGTACTGCGCTCTTTGAAAAGGATTGGACTACAAAATCAATTGCTTTCCTTGGCTTTCTTCTTATCACAAACAAAATACAAGCATTGACATGTTAACTTATTTCATTATTTATTTGACAAAAGATTTTGTAAAGTTTGCATTTTTTAGCCGAAATAATGACATTTTCACGCGATAATGAAGAGGGTAACTATGTGTCCAACGTTCCACATATTTTCTTTAAGAAATAATTCCACCTGAGAGATGTTCATGTTCTACTAAGGAAATTCCGTGTATTTGTTCTATCACAACTAATAGGAAACCTGTTGTACATATATCAACTTCCTCCGCTCAGCAGCTACTTCCGGTTAGTGGTCACATTAACGGAGAATGCATTGTTTGGCGTAGTTAGGAACACTCAGCATGTGTGAGGGAACAAGTGTAACGTACCCAGATATACCATGTTATGATTGTGATTGATAATGACGGCTGGTACACACAGTTAGTGTTAAATGGTCCCGAACCTTTGATGGGGGGTATAGACACTGTCGCACCGTTAGAGGTACTCAAGACTGCGGAGGGACAGTGACCTCTAGCATTTCGCGAAGAGATCAGAAACAGACGGAGTCTTGTTATAACCGCTAAGGGGCTAGATTTGACACCATGTGTACCAGGCTCCAATCAAGTACTATATTACTTTAGTCATCGACAATGTTCCGTCTATTAAGGAGCAGTTCTGATCATACCGTGATCTATAACGGTAGAGGATTCCCTGAAATCTTTACCTATAGATGATACTGAAATCTTTACCTATAGATGATACTGAAATCTTTACCTATAGATGATATTGAGATCGATCTATAACGGTAGAGGATTCCTTGAAATAACGGTAGAGGATTCCCTGAAATCTTTACCTATAGATAATACTGAAATCTATAACGGTAGAGGATTCCCTGAAATCTTTACCTATAGATGATACTGAAATCTTTACCTATAGATAATACTGAAATCTATAACGGTAGAGGATTCCCTGAAATCTTTACCTATAGATGATACTGAAACCTTTACCTATAGATGATACTGAAACCTTTACCTATAGATAATACCGAGATCGATCTATAACGGTAGAGGATTCCCTGAAATCTTTACCTATAGATGATACTGAAACCTTTACCTATAGATAATACCGAGATCGATCTATAACGGTAGAGGATTCCCTGAAATCTTTACCTATAGATGATACTGAAACCTTTACCTATAGATAATACCGAGATCGATCTATAACGGTAGAGGATTCCCTGAAATCTTTACCTATAGATGATACTGAAACCTTTACCTATAGATAATACCGAGATCGATCTATAACGGTAGAGGATTCCCTGAAATCTTTACCTATAGATGATACTGAAACCTTTACCTATAGATAATACCGAGATCGATCTATAACGGTAGAGGATTCCCTGAAATCTTTACCCATAGATGATACCGAGATCTATAACGATAGAGACTTCCCTGAAATCTGTATATATTGATAATGTATTGATAATATTTTGATAACAGTAGAGGCTTCTGAAATCTTCACCTTGGATAATACTATGATCTATAACGGTAGGGGTTTTCCTGAATCTGTTACCTGTAGATAATAATGTGATCTATAACGACAGAGGCTTCCCTGAAATCTTTACCTTCAGATAATACTCGGATCCATAACCTGCACAGCAGCTACGAGGGCTGATTGGTAGATTGTAAGTCTCATATTTGACATTGATTTGACTTTTAGTGGACATATAGCATTACTTTTCAACATAATCCCATTCTGTATCTATACACTTTTACCCGCGATTTTTAAGGGTCTCAGTGCCACTTTGTGTGTTTATTGGTAATTTCTGGAGTTGCAACAATGACAGACCTTCCAGGAGGGGCGTCGTCCCCAAGGATCTGCTTAATTTCCACCACTCACCTTTTCACTTAAGCATTTGAAGAGGCTTCATTCTCTAGTGTTGCTATCATATCAGTATGGATATCCATAGGTGCTACACCTTCTTTTGCAGATACTGAATCACTGCTCTTTCAGCGATTTGATTCATTTTGCAAAAGTCGCATGCCTTATTACTTTAGAGTGTTACCTCTTCAACATAAACTGACCAAATGACACCAGTCTTCATGTACCCAACCTTAAATAGCCAGGGAATAGTACAGCTTGAAAAGGACATCCATGCTTAACTTCTTCCATACAAAGCTCACAGCTTATCAATCAGTCCTCGTATGGAATCTCACTGGAATATCGAACGAAGACACGGAAGCATGCGCATGGCCACTTTCTGAAAACGAGCTGAACATGGGTGTTTAATGCGCAAACGAGACTGTGTGAGCCATGTTTACCTCTAGATCAAAAGACAATCGGCTAGCTACTGATCATAAAGAAACTGGGCAAATGGATAACAAAGTTACATCTAGTGATATTAGGCGAGTTGAAACTGTCTGTCTAACCGGAAATGTCTTGGAAGACGACGGTATAATCGAAAATGCTGTTACAGAAATCTAGTGTTTAAGGAGACAATGCGCTAATCAGCAACGTATAGAAAACGACGGGCTGACAAGGAATGTTTAGGGGGACGACAGCGTAACATGGAATGTGTAGGGGGACGACGGCATAACATGGAATGTGTAGGGGGGACGACGGCATAACATGAAATGTGTAGGGGGACGACGGCATAACATGGAATGTGTAGGGGGACGACGGCATAACATGAAATGTGTAGGAGGACGACGGCATAACATGAAATGTGTAGGAGGACGACGGCATAACATGGAATGTGTAGGGGGACGACGGCATAACATGGAATGTGTAGGGGTACGACGGCATAACATAGAATGTGTAGGGGGACGACAGCATAACATGGAATGTGTAGGAGGACGACGGCATAACATGGAATGTGTAGGGGGACGACGGCATAACATGGAATGTGTAGGGGGACGACGGCATAACATGAAATGTGTAGGGGGACGACGGCATAACATGGAATGTGTAGGGGGACGACGGCATAACATGAAATGTGTAGGGGGACGACGGCATAACATGGAATGTGTAGGGGGACGACGGCATAACATGAAATGTGTAGTGGGACGACGGCATAACATGGAATGTGTAGGGGGACGACGGTATAACATGGAATGTGTAGAGGGGCGACGGCATAACATAGAATGTGTAGGGGGACGACGGCATAACATGGAATGTGTAGGGGGACGACGGTATAACATGGAATGTGTAGGGGGCGACAGCATAACATGGAATGTGTAGGGGGCGACAGCATAACATAGAATGTGTAGGGGGACGACAGCATAACATTGAATGTGTAGGGGACGACGGCATAACATAGAAAGTGTAGGGGTGACGGCATAACATAGAAAGTGTAGGGGCGACAGCATATTATAGAATGTGTAGGGGGAAGTCGGCATAACATAGAATGTGTGTAGGGTCGGGAAGGGCAACGGTTCAACTTGGAATATATGGGGAGACAGCGGTCTGACCAGGAATATATAGAGAGACGATACTCTAACCGGCATTCGTTTGTCTAGGGTTACGACGGTCTAACCTGGAATTTCTTGACCGGCAGCGATCTAACCGGGACTGTCTAGGGCGGCCGCCGTCTGACCAGGGATATCTAGGGAGGCAGAGGTCGGGAGGAGGAGCGTTAATAAAATAATTCGTGATTTTTAATTTTACATATAGAGACAGCGTCACGGACAATTTTTGCCGATGTTTTTTTTCAAAACAAATGATTGCGGCAGTTGTGACTCCTGAGTTGTGTTGAGTATTATATTGCAGGTTAATTTCCGTAACCAGTACAATGTTTTAGCGATAACTATAATAGATGAGGTACATCGGACGAGACTCAATCTCCTCTCTTCCTGTGGTAGCCTGAGGCCTGTAGAGGCAGAAATGTCTAGTATTTATAGAAGTTACTACCATGTTAGCAATTATAAAAGCCGAAAAGCCGTGAAAACGTTCACCACGTTAAATAAATAAATAAATGAACTTCGCCACATTTGTAGCCAAAGTTGAGATGAGACGGAATGTGAAATGGTGCATTCTATAAATAACGTGATTGCGAACGGATATCTATTAACGTCTATCTAGCATGTGGCGACGAGTTCTACGGTAAAGTTTACGGATTTGGGGGCATTTTAAGGGTTTGTGTTTATAATTATACAAAATATGCTTATTGAACATCTTACTTATGCATGATATGTTAGTACCCCGACACGAGCCTCCGCGTCCTGTGTTGTAGAATGTTTGTGTAGGAACACAACACATGGTTTATCTGGGGTACTGATGCTGGGAGAAGATATGTGTCATCATCCTGCTTCTGTAAGACTGTGAACAGTGATGTTGTACTTACATATACGCTGAAGTATGTTTTGTCGTAGAACACAATCGGCACAGTAAGAGGTATTTCGTCCGAACTAATATCATCCCCGGCGTCCAGTAAATTATCTCCGCGTTGTTCACCGAATGGAAATAAAAGTTTTATGGGCACAGCTTTTGTTACACATCCAAAATTACACAGAAGCATCAACATCAAATTTAGAAATATATTCCCGAACTCCATTGTCTGGTTTTAAATGTTCCAAAGTTCCAACAGCGTGGGTCTCTGCGTTAATCCATGAGTGAAGTGCTGGCTCGATTCTATAAATAGCGGTTATTAGTGGTAATCAGCTTAGTTGCTCGCGGACTCCCCCCTTACCTACAAACGTACAGTGTAGCCTCACGGGAACCGACAGCGCGATTGGCTACGCGATAGATGAGCAGCGAACGCCTGGCACATTTCACCAAAAACTGAGGTCAAAGTTGACTTGTGTTAAGAATCGGAAGTTCTGATGAGTGCTCAGCTGGGTGTCTGGCTTATTAACCGTTAATGTATGTATAAGCTGTCAAAAATCTGTGATTCGTCACTTGGGCACCCCGGCCTTTATCCTGGGGGCTGGGGGTATTTAACCGTAGTGGGCTACAGTGGAAATTAGTCTTCACGCTTCTAGTTTATCCTAGTTTTATAACCTTTCAATATTGACTTTGACTGTCATACAGTTACATTGATTATATAATCTAACTATATGTGTGCTTTTTAGTAACCTGGATAGAGTACTATGGAATTCCCATGAGTTGTGTTTACTTGTCACCGTTAATAAGCACTATATTGTATACAGAGTGTTTACATTACATATTGTATGTATCGTAACGATGTTTAAAATATTTCGGAATGGAATCACTCTCGTGCACGTGCATAAATTTACTGTTTCATTCAGTATGTTTTAAAAAAAATTCAAATCAATGTTCAGATAGAGATTGGGTGCGTGCATTCTAAATTGTTTGAGTTTACACTCACGTTTTAAAGAGAGTCTGGGTTTCAGGATAATTAGAAAGATATTCCTGGAATTTTTAACAGTTTTTTTTTTGTTTTGTTGTAAAAAATTGTTAATGAACAAAAGAATTGGGCATTTAGTCTTCTCCGAAGTGTATTACACAGAAACATTTACAATGCCTTCACGTGAAAACAACACAATATGTAAATAACGGATAAAGATTTAGCAGGAGAGAGAATAGTAAGCTTGTGATAAAGAGGTAGAATAGGGAGAGGAAAAGAGAAGCGGTAGAACATAGATAAGTTATACATGTACTAAACTTATATGTATTAATATATAAACTTATATATAGCACTTTATCCGTTCCTCTGTTCAATCCAATCTACGTATCAAAGTCACCGTATATCCTTTACAAAACAACGTTTCGCTCACCACCTCCTTAGGATTTACAAATCAATTTACTGTTATCATGGTATTGGACAGCCATCATAACACTAACACTTAAAATTTAGAAGACAGTATGTTTTGTAGTGTACAACAAGGAACTAAACACTATACTATCTTATAGATTTTCGTGTATTGTGATGTATTTACTGTTAATACATAACTTCCTGTGAAGATTCAAGGAGTGTGATTTGTACCCGTGACGCGAACCGGACCAGTGGGCGTTGTTCCATCTCCGAGAGCCGACGCTGTTCGATACAGCAATACAATCCGAACTCCTGGAAGTTCGAGGATGGTGCTGTCGTGAATGTGTGTACAAGACACATTATCTGAGTCGCTCAGAATGCCACGCGACGAGCATCTCGTATTAAACAGTGGGGTGGCCATCAATTCAATCCAATGCGGTCCATAGGAAAACGGCATTGGACAGCATTCATACATCCTACGTCTCATCTAAATGTTGTGATAGGGATCATTTTCAATTTTTAACTGGTGTGAAGACAATCTAATGCTAGCTACATTTTTTTATGTACATCCTCAACAGATTTTCAGAAAGTAATATTGCAAGCAAAAAATGGTCAGTTAGATGTTTATATAGGTCACCTCGAGTAGCATTAATAAATTTGGCTGTTATTTCCTGTGTATAACAGTGTCTTCAAATCTTTGTTATAATACTCTGTACGTATTTTTATTTATGAAATAACTGTTCCAAATGTAAGATAAACCTACTTTATCTATTTCTTGTTTGATATTGTATATCAACTCATCTTTAATCGTTAAACGTCGTTCTAGACACGGAGCCAGTATTTCATGCTTTTTAACTTCCTGTTTATGTACCGTGACTGCCTACCAAGTTCAATATATACAAAATCAGTATCTGTAAATATTTTGGCACCTAGTAATCGATTACAAAACCCAGAATGAAGTTTCTCTATATCTGATGCTTTGTGAAAGCACCATATCTCGCTTCCATATTTGTGTATGCTATTGACATATGCACCAAACACATAACATTGTAACATGACTTCCATCCATTAGGACTATTTCAGCCTTTTATACCACTTCTATGGGAAATTTTTTTATAAAAGTCAAAAAGGTGCCAAAGACGTCTACAATGCTATTATTAAACCAGCTCCATCCCCTACTGGTATTCGAAAATGGAGTGATGAGTTTGACTTTGATGATCAGAAGTGGAAAAATATATTAATAATTCCGTTTACTATTACAAAAAGTTCTAAGCTACAGTGGTTTCAAATAAGGATTATACATCATATTCTGGTTACGAACTCCTTTCTTTTCAACATTAATTTAATACCTAGCCCTTTATGTACACTATGTAATATGGAAAGAGAAACAATCGTTCACTGTCTATGGGAGTGTATAGAGGTACAGAATCTATTGGAGAGATTTGAATCTCTTCTTGATATTCTTCTGATTCCTTTTTGGATAAACAAAGAAACATATTTATTTGGAATTATCCATCCTAATGTTAACTCTGTAGATAACGAAATTTTAATTCTCATTAAACACTATGTTTATATGTCAAGATGTCTACAAAAATCTCTTAATTTAAATGCTCTCATAAATAAGATTAAGGATCATTTCCATGTTCAAAAGCACAACATTTCCAGCAAAAAAAAACTATTATGAAAACAAATTTTGAGAATAATTGGAAAAAATGGATGCCCATTTTGGAACTATAGTATGTATGCTAACAAGTCTGTTCCCAATGGCCATGGCCTTGACTTTACCAAACTGACTTTAAATTTATTGAATTTCCACAAAATTAGTGCTATTTTTATTTAATAATGATTATAACCCTCCCAATTCTCTCTCTCTTTCCCTCTCTCGCTCTCTCTCTCTTACTCCTCTCTCCCTCTCTCTTTTTTTGTTTAGGATGTATAATGTTTTTTTTTATATTATAAATGTATTCATGAGTGAGTATGTGTGTGTGAGAAAATATCTTTGATAAGTGTAAGTGATATGATATTATATGTGTGTGTGTGTGTGAGTATTTTGTTAAGTACATGTAAGTTTGCTATGTGAGTGTAAGTGGGTGTGAATGTTGATGAGTGAGTTTGTGTGCAGTAAGTAGTAGATACATGTGCATGATGATTAAGATGATGATGATGATGATGATGATGATGCATGTATATGTGTAAGACATATTCAAGTAAGAGCACACACGTGTGAGAGTGTGGGTGTATGTTTTTGTGTGGTTTCTCTTGTATATTGTGTATCGTGTAATATGTAAAAACTTGTCAAAAAAATAAAAGAATTACAAAATAAAAAAAAACCATTTAGTTGTAACATTGGAGAGTGATGACACATTATCCTATATTGAGAGATTGAGGACACACTGTCTTGTATTGGGAAATTGAGGACATATCCTCCTATATTGAGAGAGTGAGGACATATCCTTCTACATTGGGAGAGTGAGGACATATTCTCCTATAGTTGGAAAGTTAAGGGACATCTTCCTATATTGGGAGAGTGAGGACGCATCCTCCTATAGTTGGAAAGTTAAAGCACATCCTCCTATATTGAGAGACTTAGGACGCACTCTTATATTGAGTTAGTAAGAGTACAGTCTCCTACGGAAAATTGAGGACAAACCTCCTGTATTTGGAGAGTGAGAACACATCTTCCTATATCGGGAGAGTGAGAACACATCTTCCTATATCGGGAGAGTGAGAACACATCTTCCTATATCGGGAGAGTGAGAACACATCTTCCTATATCGGGAGAGTGAGAACACATCTTCCTATATCGGGAGAGTGAGAACACATCTTCCTATATCGGGAGAGTGAGAACACATCTTCCTATATCGGGAGAGTAATGAGACATCGATGTAGTGTTGTGGCTATTAAGTGATGTCATATATTACTTAAAGTGCCGAAGTCGAGACCCCGAAGACACACACCCGAGCCCCCGTGAACACACACCCGAGCCACCGTGGACACACATCCGAGCCCCCGTGAACACAAACCCGAGCCCCCGTGAACACACACCGCTATACTGGGAACGTGAGGACACATTGATACTTCCATCTTTATGCCGAGAATGACGCTATTAATTGTCTCTCATCATCTCTTGCGTCCGCATTCTCCTAGAATCCTCGTTCTTATGGGGCAAGGACATGCCTCCACCTCCTCACAACCTCCCATCTTCTTGTATTTCGAAAATGGGTAGAACGTCCTCACATTTCTGAGTATAAAGTAGTATCAGACTAGGACACCATATCGCCAGTCACACGATCTTTACACGATACTCACATCATACAGGACGCCTGTACGCGTGCGTACGATAAAAGCCACGCGCCTGTAACACTGACATATATCTATGTTTCATCTACACATGTAGGTATAATCAGCTAGTATATTACATCACCCGTCAGTTATATCATCTTACCATAAATGATTACGTCACTTGTTAAATATGTGTAAACTGATCGATATTATTATAATATGTTTCATATACTATAATCAATGCAATTTAATTCGTCTCGCGCAGATATTTGTTTGGTACCAATATTTCATTTGGTTAGAAAATATTTAGGCTTCACGGGGTTGTCACTCTTACCGCATGTTTCAGGGCTAATGACAACTTACCGCACATTTCAGGGGTAATGATAACTTACCGCTCATTTCAGGAGTTATGATAACTTATCGCACATTCCATGGGTTATGATAACTTACCGCACAATCCATGGGTAATGATAACATACTGCACATTTCAGGGGTAATGATAACTTATCGCACATTTCAGGGGTTATTATAACTTACCGCACGTTTCAGGGGTTATAACTTACCGCACGTCTGACAGATTAGAACTAACTTATTATGCCAGTTTTTACATAATAATGAAGCCATGACGGAAACCAAGGTTTTTCAAATTGATAGTAACAATATCTATGATAACTGACAACGAATTTCCTAGGGAAGCAACATTTACATGATTACATTAACACTTGGGATTAATAGAGTTACTTCCAATACATGTGGTTGTGAAATACCGTCAGATATATACATAAACAATCAGCTAGTAGATGTACGTACACATATAATTAAATTGATGTAGGTTTTCATTTCTAGTCATCAAACCCAACAAGTTTGTGCATCCGTGAGTGTTGCTCTCCTGTCCGTTTGTGAGTAAAAATATCCGGCGATTGGATTGGAAAAAAAGTCCAAGTAAACATGAAAAAATAAGATCACGATGTATTAGAACGCCCGACAGACCGACTTAGACACATAATAGAAATGACGCCACACCGACTTAGACACATAATAGAAATGACACCACACCGACTTAGACACATCTTGGAGATGACGCCACATCGACTAAGACACATAATAGAAATGACACTACACCGACTTAGACACATAATAGAAATGACGCCACACCGACTTAGACACATAATAGAAATGACGCCACACCGACCTAGACACATCTTGGAAATAACGTCACACCGACTTAGACACATCATGGAAATGACGCCACACCGACCTTGACACATCATGAAAATGACGCCATACCGACTTAGATACATCATGGAAATGACGCTACACCGACCTTGACATATCATGAAAATGACGCCATACCGACTTAGATACATCATGGAAATGACGCTACACCGACCTTGACACATCTTGGAAATGACGCCACACCGACTTAGACACATAATAGAAATGACGCCACACCAACCTAGACACATCAAGGAAATGACGCTACACCGACCTAGACACATCTTGGAGATGACGCCACATCGACTTAGACATAAAATAGAAATGACGTCTCACCGACTTAGACACATCATGGAAATGACGTCACATCGACCTAGACACATTATGGAAATGACGTCACACCGACTTAGACACGTCATGGAAATGACGCTACACCGACCTAGACACATCTTGGAGATGACGCCACATCGACTTAGACACATAATAGAAATGACGCCACACCGACCTAGACACATATTGGAAATGACACCACACCGACTTAGACACATCATAGAAATGACGCCACACCGACTTAGACACATCTTGGAAATGACGCCACACCGACTTAGACACAGCATGGAAATCACCATGACCGATCAAGACACATTATTGAAATGACGCTTGATCGATCAAGGTACATCATGGCATTGATGCCTGGCCGATCTAGACACGTAGAGGATATCTTATTGTGTCTTCAGTAATAACAAATACATTTCAGATGTATGTCTAATATTTTGGTATCTTTTAGGAGTGTGCAGCACGAGTGAGCGATACAAATAATTTTACACACTTGAGTGAAATGTATTTGTTATTACTAAAGACACCATCAGATATTCTATTTATAACATTATCACAAGCAAAATAGTCGAATTCTTGGCATGTTTGGAACAAATATAAAACGTAGCTGTCTAGGCTTTTCGCGAAAACTACTCATTCGTTATAACTTAGCAGTATTCGACAAAATATAAACCGTTTCTTATAAAAATCATTACAAATATGTAAACACAAAAATAAAATTCAATGTCAATCTATTTTCATATCCACGTAGAAAATGTCACCTATTTATGTCACTAAAAGACAGAATTTGCTGTGAAACGTTCAAAGAGGGTTTAACCTTTTACAAGTTACTACCTGCAGTTGTCGCCGTTGATGCCACGAATACCCATGAAATGTCTAACGTTTAAGCTCCATACTCAAAACGTTCGATTTGGGGTTGAATTTGATCTCTGATAAGGTAATTCGCGTTGCATTGTTTGCTGACTTCATGGAAATGAACGTTTTCCATGGAATTGAAGGTCATGTCAGACCCGCAGGTGCAGCTATTGAGGACATACGGCGCCGCGCATTATTTTACAATAGATTTTATAGTGGCATTTCAGAAAAATATTAAAAATCGTCTTGTAGATAAAAAATCCAAAATATATGCCACTGACCAGTAAGTTATCATTTCTTCGTTACAAACATATATTTTCATTAGTTTTTAGATGAAAATTAGTTGTGTCATTGTTTAGTTGAATCTTACACATGAATCTCCTTCATAGTCTCACATTTTTTTGGCGTGCTAGTATCGCATTTAGTATATCCTTACGTTGGACTTGCAAAAAATCACGGACTTGTTGCTTGAAAATTAATAAAGTGGTCTGATGTTGAGATGTCGAGACTTACTCTATATTATGCATTTTAATTGGATAGAAGCATGACCAAAGTAGAAAAAAACATCTTTTTAAAAATGCTGTTGTTATTCAATGTCTAATCATTTGTCCTTCTTTTCTTTAGCTTAATGGGTTACTTTAAGATAAAGTTAACAGTAGATGTTAAGGATCCCTTCCGATTTGAATCCTTGATCAAGAGTTTTCAGTTCCTCTGCTTTTTTTTATATCTGAATAGTTAAAACTTCCGTCGTTTATTTATGTGAATGGTTAAAGCTTCCATCGGGTTTTCTAAAAAAAATTATCTAATTGGTTGAAACTTCCGTTGGTTTTTTTATCTGGTCGGTTTTTTAGGTTTAATAAAAACTTTTGTTTCATGGTGTTCAATTTCAATAGTTAAAGAATTATTTATTACTTATTAGTATATTTCAAACATGCTTTGATGTTTCTCAATTCGCTCTATGGTCTATTATTTTTGTAAAAGTTCAAGCGAAATTGTTCCCCAACTCAGCATGCGTGGTTGACTGAGGTTATCCCTATCGTGTACGCCAACTTTATGTTCCTTCTTCTTTTTCTTCTTCTCCTCCTCCTCCTTCTTCTTCACCTCCTCCTCCTCTTCCTCCTCCTCCTCTCCTCCTCCTCCTCCTCCTCCTCCTCCTCCTCCTTCTTCTTCTTCTTCTTCTTCTTCTTCTTCTTCTGTGACACTTTTGTATTTTTTTGTAACATTTCTTTTACAGGTCGATGCAAAATGTCAATCCGATGAATTCCGTTAACGTTAGACGCCATTTTGAATTTTAAAAAAAGGTTGACAATTTGGTAAAAGTTATTTTACACCTACAATGTATATCAGTGTCTCATATTTCCTCAAATTGACGCAGGAAAAGTTTTTCCATATGTCCTCTACCATTTAGTGACATTTTCAACTTCATCAGAAAAAGAAAATGGCCGCCATGACGTCATTTCCTATTTTAACTTTAATTGCAATATCTTATCGACGTCTGAATGTATTGAATTCATCGTTGGATAAGTTATGTTAAACAACAAATTAATAACACTTCTCGGGAAACATTTTTAATGTCAACTTCCGTTTCTCAAGATGGGACAAATTTGAAAATTGCCATTTCGGGTGACACACTTTGAAAAACGTCTTCTCCAGTTCCACACTGTTTAGAGCCTTGATACTCAATATTTCGGAAGCTCTGGTCATAAACTATCAAGTTTGTTAATATAAATGACATTGACTCACTTTTAAGGTCACGTGTGTCAATTATATAAAATTCTTAAAATAGCATTTTCTCAGTAATCAAGAAGCACATGGTGATGAAAATTTGTCAGCAGCATACTGTGATCAATCGCTATAGAATGTATTAATACAATCTTGTTTTAAAATTGTACTTCCGGTTCTCGATTGGGGTCAAAGTCGAAAATTGATATTTTGGGTAACAAACTTCTTCTCAACTTCCACAAGGTCTAGAGCATTGATATTTCAAGTTTGATAATACATGTATAACTGACATTCATCCACTTTCAAGGTCACGTGATTCAATTATGTCAAAATCTTTAAATAGTATTTTCTTAATAAACGATAAGCACATGGTGATGAAATTTTGTCAGTAGTATACTGTGATCAGTGATCAGCTGATATTGAACAACTTGGATGTTGTGTATATGTGAAAAGTTCTCAGGTGGGGCACGCTACCCTTTCCTGTTATATTTGCTGCTGTAGACAACGCCAAAAGCAAGCAAATCATAGGACACCGAGAAGATTCATTGGAGCGAAAGACCTTGGGTTGATGTGATATTAAAACTAGAAAGCGAACATATTAGAAAAGGATAGGATGGAGGTTGGGACTAATGTGACACCAGGGGTTAATGTGACATCAGTGTTGTAACTGTGCATATATACGGTCGCGCCTAACCTCGCGATAGAAGGGATTTCCCTTTATCTGTGTCACTGAAACTAAATACCTTGAAGGATGAAATCGTGAAAATAAGTCTTCTTCTGATTCACAATATCTTCTTTGACTTGATCTTGTAAAGATCCCGCTCAGAAATCTAAATACACCTAGCGTTTATATTTTAATGTAGAGTACATGTAAATATTAGCCATTTAGAAATGTGCCTCTTCTGATGTTAGCACCGTAATGTATTGTTACATTCCATAACGCTACACCGCGAGGACTGTAATATATTAAATCAGCGCTGATCTAAAGTTTAAGTATCGTAAAACTTCCTGTTCCATATGCAATGAAATTAATTCCTTGTCCAGTCTTAATTAATTTATTTATTCATGTATCTATTCATTCATCTATTTAACGTTCACTATTACGGCCTTTCGGCTTTTCAATCAGGTCAATCTCAATCCGTTCCAAAATATATCTGCTTTGTATAAATTTAGAGTTGGCTCCCCTCGACTTCCTGTTTTCAGAGGAACGTGAAACGCAAGACTAGCGCTGTATTTTATCTAATTTCTTTTACATTGACTAGGTTATCAGACTATGTTCAGACGAAAATTATGTGCATTAGAGTACCAACAAGCAGACAATTTCGACCATGACAGTGAGTATTAACATTGCTATCACCTTCCAAAACTCCCAGTTTCTTAACATTTTCGTTTTGATATTTCTTGGAGCTTCTGGTCTCAGCTGCTGACATTCCACGAATACGTAGTTCAAATGAGATGTCTGATCTCTGTTGGGAATATGATCCTAAAAAACCATTAACACTGAATAATTGATTTGGAATATACTACTGACGAAAAATGATGTTAAAAGACAATAAATATTCGACCTTTCTTCTTTTCTTTTTGTGAAATTTGAGGAAATTAACGACATTGTTTGTATAACCTTCCCAATATTTTCTTTGCTGCAACATATTGAGAATACGATTGTACAGTTAATGTAGAAACATAAAAACTTTCATGAGAAATATATGAATTAGATATTTCATTGTAGATATAAAGTCATATTGATCAGTTGATTGATAGAAACCTGTATAGTTTGTGTGATACATAAAACGGACAGAAATACTACACATTTCATTCATTAATTATATGTTACGTAGAAGAAAACTTTTTTCTTACACATACACATGGCATGCATCTTCATAATTACAGATTGTTTTAGACTGAAAGTTTTATCAAAAACATTCTTTCTTTTAGATGAAAATGAGTTCAGGAATCTAATACTTTGGCTAGAAGACCAGAAAATTCGACATTATAAGATTGAGAACAGAACAGGGCTGAGGAACATCAATGGCGGTGACTGGTCAAAGGCTTTGCAAAGTGTAAAATTGATTTGTTTTTCTTTTTTTTCTTCTTTTTTTTTCATATCCAACTGCTATTTGATATTCAATTTTTGTTTTCATTTTAGATAGTAATTGATCACAAATAAAAGGCGTGAAATACATATAGTTCTAGGCTAAAAGTAGCTAATTGATTAAAGATGATGAAAAGTTGAAGAAGGTTCTTTAAATACCATTACAACTCTTTATTTTAGTACCTAGAAGAACTTGGTTGTCCATACCAGCTTGCTGAAAGGCCAGTTTTGATAGATTGGTTGCTAGGATATGCAGTACGTCTGGATTACGGAGACTCTGGTGAGTCTATGATAAGATGAAAAATATACCGTACATGTTTGTTGTGACAAATTTACATTACTGATACAATTTGATTGTGCAGCTATTAAATCTATTTTACTTTGCTGAATACTAAATGTTATGTTTTCAATTGACAGCTGACCAGTACAGGAACATAACACCAGATACTGTGAAAGCCAGATCTGCTGCACCTGCTGGATCTACAAACCCATTAGACAATTTAGACTGTGAGTTGAATATTTTAGGTACCTGAGAGTGAAGACTCATGTAATTCCATCTGCACTGACATTTAATTCTCATCTGTTTACCATCAATATTTTTGATCTCTTCAGATCAAGTCAAGTCATTTTAGTGAGGGCATGTGATGGAAACATATTAGGTACACTAGGGCATTTCTGTAGTATAACTTTTTGACTATAGGGCAATATAAACCTTTGATTTGAAAGTGAGCAGTGCTTTGAGATGGTTTACTGATCATAAGCAGATTAGTTGTGCTTAGTGGTGAATTTTTAAGTTGACAAGTTACTATTGTATTTGTGCAGATCTATCAATAATTTTCTGAATATGTTGTTGTGTATCATGTAAATTGTGCACAACTAAATATGGTTTTAGGCCATCTGTCATCAGATAGAGTACTGTTCAAATCACTCTTCTTCCATGGTTTGCATCATCTGTCTGTCCATAAACAATTCTTGCTAACACTATCAGTTGAGAAATACAAGATGAAAGTTTCATATGTGCATTCCCCTTGGTCTAGTTGTGCAATATTGTCAATTTTTGACAGTAATCAGAAATGAAAATGACTGACAGACAGCCATTATGGATACAGACAGATATAAAATGCTAGTGCTATTTCATTAAAAGTTCAAGATGAGCTATATTGATTCTAAAATTTCATGTGTAGGTTCTCTTCAGTCCCTAGTTGTGCCTTGGGACCGATCCGAAAATAGAAATGGTTGATAGGTGATCATCAAGGTTTTGACTGTTAAAGATTGTTATTGTTATTTCTTGAGATTCAGTGCAGTTTCACTTGGTTCCAAGTTGTGTGTTGTCTATTTTCGGACTGATCAGAAAGTCAAATGACTGACAGTTGGCCACCTTGAATTTTGAGTTTAAGATTGTTATCACACAATATGTTGAGAAGTTGTTCACAAAGTTGTAGGTTTGAGCTGAACTTTAGTCGACCATCAACCAATTTTCTGTTATGGAACTGATTGGAAAAACATAATGAGACACAATCAGCCATTTTGGATTGTGACCATAGCATCTTATTTATTTTGTGATCATACTAGATGGATCACTTCAAATATGTAGATTCCCTGACAATTTGGGAACTGATCAGGAAACAAAATTTCTAAAAAGCAGTCATCTTTGATTTTGACAGTCTCGTTAAAGTTATAGTGTATAGAAAATATCACTGCTATTATGATATTGTTGGCTTTTTTAAATTAATCAAAATATGAATACATTGAGGGTTTTTCATTTTTATGCCCCAGAAATCAAAGGTTGTGTTATGTCTTTCACGGTTCGTCTTTTTTAGGTTTTTCGTCAAATAATGTTACTGTTTGCTCTCTGATTTAAACAGAGTTTGATATATTACTTTATATCACATAAAATCTCAAATGAGTTTTATATTGGTCAGTCTGTCAACATTAATATTGGCAGAACTATGGGATTTTGAAGTCCTTCAAATAGATCACTTTTATTTTCAGTGAAATGACTTTATTTTCTACTATCAAATTTGAACAAATTTGGTTTGGTATATATTTCTTCATATCAATGAGATCTTGGATGATACAGTACTGATATTGGTCAAAATCTATGAACATTTGCCAGAGTAATGAGACTTTGAAATCCTTGAAATAAATTATTTCTTTGCTTCCTACAAATACTGTAACTTTAATTTTAACTGTCAGATTTAAACCCAATTTGGTATTTTACCTTGTATCAATATGGTCTCAGATGAGGATGATATTGGTCAAAATCTGACGAGTTGGCCAGATTATAGGACTTTAAATACTTTAAATAGGTCATTTGTTTGTTTACTATAACTGATTAAATTTTTAGTTTCAAGGTAAAATTTGAACCAGATTTGGTATAATGTTTTGTATCTAATAGATAATCTTTGCAATCTTTGACTTACTGAAAATGTCCCATCACCATAGTCTCCAGACCTAGGTATCTTATACTCTGTTAAGAAATCTTTGATTTATTGATAATGTCCCATCACCATAGTCTCCAGACCTAGGTATCTTATACTCTGTTAAGAAATCTTTGATTTATTGATAATGTCCCATCACCATAGTCTCCAGACCTAGGTTTCTTATACCCTGTTAAGAAATGTTTTCTTATTTATTGCATGTTTTTCTAATGACCTTCAACTCAATTGTATTAAATTTGCTACATTCACCTTAAATGTATTGCAAAAACGTTTTTCCGTTGAATGTCCTAGGCTTCCTGTTTGCTTAGCCATCATGAATGGCAGACCTTCAGGGTCATAGTGATTCTCAAATGTATTGAACTTTACTAATTGTTTTGTTATACACATAGATGCACATGGCTTTTACTTTTACACTTCTTTGGATATATCTTTGAGGTGTAGTTGAAGTCAAGTGCTAAAATTAACTAGGCTTGCAGTTTAAAAAACAATGTTGTCTTTATCAACAAGTTTATAAAATACATATATACCTTTTGTTACATTTCTTATAGAAAATACAAAAACAATACCATAATATAGTTTTTGAATATTCTTAATGTTCCCAGATCTGTAGTTCAAGAAATTAATAATTAAAATGAAATCTAAAATCCAGTACTTATAAACAACTATTTTCCCAGCATATTGATATTGAGGGTCACACTTTGTCAAGTGTTCTGTTCAAACGATCATAATTCCCACTTTCCTGTTGGTCCTTCAAGTGCAGATAAACTATATGTACATATATTTATTGTCTGGTGTTCAACAGAGTTGTGAAGCAAGTTATAGACATCACTTTTCCGACGGCATCAACATTTTTGTTAAACTTCAAATTGTTGAAATAAATACAAGTGCTAACATCACCAAACGTGCTGAATTGTTATATACTGAAAAGATAAAGAAACACAGTTTCTTTAATGGTAAAATATTTTGTGTTGAATATACATAGCCATAAGAATTCTAAGATGAATATTGGAGCACCTTACCTAATCCTTCAATAAATGTTAAAAATTTGTCATCTGTGTGTGACATTAAGCTTATCCACATCTAATGCTCCTAAATTACCAATATACTGTGACTGTACAAATGCATGCGTTTTATCCCTATGTAACAGAGGTCATTTTTCATCTCAGTGCCTCCGCTAGGAATCGAACCCGGGACCCCTGGCTTACTAGTCTGACGCTCAACCAATCGAGCTGAAGAGAAGTTCTCTCTAGCCGAGTGGTATGTTGCAGCTAGTATTTTACCAGGGTTACATACTCCACCTCCAGGAAATAACTCGTCCTCGAGTTTCCAGGGGTCACAGCGATGCTGGTTGGGCATGGCTAAGTACTAATCCCGGGTCCCTACATGGGCGCCAATGTAACAGAGATCATTTTTCATCTCAATGCCTCCGCCAGGAATCGAACCCGGGACCCCTGGCTTACTAGTCTGACGCTCAACCAATCGAGCTAAAGAGAAGTTCTCTCTAGCCGAGTGGTATATTGCGGCTAGTATTTTACCAGGGTTACACCTACAAACTAGTGTCAAGTTCTCACGCTCACCAACCTGATAGAGGACAGGCTCTCACAATGCTCATATAGCACTTAACATCAGGTTGCTGCTCATTTTAGGGTTCACAATTGACTATAAGTACGTTCATTTTACATCTCAATGCCACAGGAAGTGTTGATAACAAACTGACATGTAGACGTCCATGTGTAACATCACAACATAAGAATCACTTAAATAGGCACCCCCACTTGTGTGATAGGAGATTAATGGCAGCTGAATCTACCAATGGTAATGGTAACCATTAAATACACCCAAAACTGTGAGAAATAGACTATGAGAGGCGTCATATGTGATGATTGATGGCTCATATGCCCAGACGTATTTTCGTATCACCAGTCAAAGCACATGAAAGACAATAGGATTAAAAAGTGTAGGAAAATTCAACTCTCAAAATCATTAAATTCATAAAATTTGTATGATTTTACTTCTTGTTTACATTACTAGGATTCATGATTTTTTTTAATCAGTTAGTGTCTTGTTTACATTATGATTGTTGATACATGTATTGAACTGAACACATGTGTCATGATGTGGAAATTTGTTCCAAAACAAAAATCTCATACCTCTAAAGTTGACCATTTGAAATCGCAAAAAAACTGAAATATCTATACAATTATATTCCAGGTTGTATCAAAAAGTTATTTCATAATCATGGATGCGTATCCAGAGATGTACATCCATGAATAATTGAATATTGCCTCTTTGACAACACTGCCGAGTTCTCTACCTGATTATATTTTAGTGGTTGTAGAACTTAATTTTAAGGTCAAAGGTAAAACTTAAGAACCTTTCAACAGGTTCAGATTAAGATGAAAAAATGGTTATAAAGGGATATCTGTGTGAATCCCTGCTCAGGTATAGAGTTATATCTTTGTGAATCCCTGCTCAGGTGTAGAGGTATATCTGTGTGAAGCCCTGCTCAGGTGTAGAGGTATATCTGTGTGAATCCCTGCTCAGGTGTAGAGGTATATCTGTGTGAATCCCTGCTCAGGTGTAGAGGTATATCTTTGTGAATCCTGCTCAGATGTAGAGGTATATCTGTGTGAATCCCTGCTCAGGTGTAGAGGTATATCTGTGTGAATCCCTCCTCAGGTGTAGAGGTATATCTGTGTGAATCCCTGCTCAGGTATAGAGTTATATCTGTGTGAATCCCTGCTCAGGTGTAGAGGTATATCTGTGTGAATCCCTCCTCAGGTGTAGAGGTATATCTGTGTGAATCCCTGCTCAGGTGTAGAGGTATATCTGTGTGAATCCCTGCTCAGGTGTAGAGGTATATCTGTGTGAATCCCTGCTCAGGTGTAGAGGTATATCTGTGTGAATCCCTGCTCAGGTGTAGAGTTATATCTGTGTGAATCCCTGCTCAGGTGTAGAGTTATATCTGTGTGAATCCCTGCTCAGGTGTAGAGTTATATCTGTGTGAATCCCTGCTCAGGTGTAGAGGTATATCTGTGTGAATCCCTGCTCAGGTGTAGAGGTATATCTGTGTGAATCCCTGCTCAGGTGTAGAGTTATATCTGTGTGAATCCCTGCTCAGGTGTAGAGTTATATCTGTGTGAATCCCTGCTCAGGTGTAGAGGTATATCTGTGTGAATCCCTGCTCAGGTGTAGAGGTATATCTGTGTGAATCCCTGCTCAGGTGTAGAGTTATATCTGTGTGAATCCCTGCTCAGGTGTAGAGGTATATCTGTGTGAATCCCTGCTCAGGTGTAGAGTTATATCTGTGTGAATCCCTGCTCAGGTGTAGAGGTATATCTGTGTGAATCCCTGCTCAGGTATAGAGTTATATCTGTGTGAATCCCTGCTCAGGTGTAGAGGTATATCTGTGTGAATCCCTGCTCAGGTGTAGAGGTATATCTGTGTGAATCCCTGCTCAGGTATAGAGGTATATCTGTATGAATTCCTGCTCAGGTGTAGAGGTATATCTGTGTGAATCCCTCCTCAGGTGTAGAGGTATATCTGTATGAATCCCTGCTCAGGTGTAGAGGTATATCTCCTCAGGTGTAGAGGTATATCTGTGTGAATCCCTGCTCAGGTGTAGAGGTATATCTGTGTGAATCCCTGCTCAGGTGTAGAGGTATATCTGTATGAATCCCTGCTCAGGTGTAGAGGTATATCTGTGTGAATCCCTCCTCAGGTGTAGAGGTATATCTGTGTGAATCCCTGCTCAGGTGTAGAGGTATATCTGTGTGAATCCCTGCTCAGGTGTAGAGGTATATCTGTGTGAATCCCTGCTCAGGTGTAGAGGTATATCTGTGTGAATCCCTCCTCAGGTGTAGAGGTATATCTGTGTGAATCCCTGCTCAGGTGTAGAGGTATATCTGTGTGAATCCCTGCTCAGGTGTAGAGGTATATCTGTGTGAATCCCTGCTCAGGTGTAGAGGTATATCTGTGTGAATCCCTGCTCAGGTGTAGAGGTATATCTGTGTGAATCCCTGCTCAGGTGTAGAGTTATATCTGTGTGAATCCCTGCTCAGGTGTAGAGGTATATCTGTGTGAATCCCTGCTCAGGTGTAGAGGTATATCTGTGTGAATCCCTGCTCAGGTGTAGAGGTATATCTGTGTGAATCCCTGCTCAGGTGTAGAGTTATATCTGTGTGTAATGCTCAGGTGTAGAGGTATATCTGTGTGAATCCCTGCTCAGGTGTAGAGGTATATCTGTGTGAATCCCTGCTCAGGTGTAGAGTTATATCTGTGTGAATCCCTGCTCAGGTGTAGAGGTATATCTGTGTGAATCCCTGCTCAGGTGTAGAGGTATATCTCAGGTAGAGGTATATCTGTGTGAATCCCTGCTCAGGTGTAGAGGTATATCTGTGTGAATCCCTGCTCAGGTGTAGAGGTATATCTGTGTGAATCCCTGCTCAGGTGTAGAGGTATATCTGTGTGAATCCCTGCTCAGGTGTAGAGGTATATCTGTGTGAATCCCTGCTCAGGTGTAGAGGTATATCTGTATGAATCCCTGCTCAGGTGTAGAGGTATATCTGCTCAGGTGTAGAGGTATATCTGTGTGATCCCTGCTCAGGTGTAGAGGTATATCTGTGTGAATCCCTGCTCAGGTGTAGAGGTATATCTGTGTGAATCAGGTGTAGAGGTATATCTGTGTGAATCCTCTCCTCAGGTGTAGAGGTATATCTGTGTGAATCCCTGCTCAGGTGTAGAGGTATCTATGTTTGAATCCCTGCTAAGGTGTAGAGGTATATCTGTGTGAATCCCTGCTCAGGTGTAGAGGTATATCTGTGTGTCAGGTGTGTATATCTGTGTGAATCCCTGCTCAGGTGTAGAGGTATATCTGTGTGAATCCCTGCTCAGGTGTAGAGGTATATCTGTGTGAATCCCTGCTCAGGTGTAGAGGTATATCTGTGTGAATCCCTGCTCAGGTGTAGAGGTATATCTGTGTGAATCCCTGCTCAGGTGTAGAGGTATATCTGTGTGAATCCCTGCTCAGGTGTAGAGGTATATCTGTGTGAATCCCTGCTCAGGTGTAGAGGTATATCTGTGTGAATCCCTGCTCAGGTGTAGAGGTATATCTGTGTGAATCTGTGTGAATCCCTGCTCAGGTGTAGAGGTATATCTGTGTGAATCCCTGCTCAGGTGTAGAGGTATATCTGTGTGAATCCCTGCTCAGGTGTAGAGGTATATCTGTGTGAATCCCTGCTCAGGTGTGTGAGGTATATCTGTATATCTCAGGTGTAGAGGTATATCTGTGTGAATCCCTGCTCAGGTGTAGAGGTATATCTGTGTGAATCCCTGCTCAGGTGTAGAGGTATATCTGTGTGAATCCCTGCTCAGGTGTAGAGGTATATCTGTGTGAATCCCTGCTCAGGTGTAGAGGTATATCTGTGTGAATCCCTGCTCAGGTGTAGAGGTATATCTGTGTGAATCCCTGCTCAGGTGTAGAGGTATATCTGTGTGAATCCCTGCTCAGGTGTAGAGGTATATCTGTATGAATCTCAGGTGTAGAGGTATATCTGTGTGAATCCCAGGTGTAGAGGTATATCTGTGTGAATCCCTGCTCAGGTGTAGAGGTATATCTGTGTGAATCCCTGCTCAGGTGTAGAGGTATATCTGTGTGAATCCCTGCTCAGGTGTAGAGGTATATCTGTGTGAATCCCAGCTCAGGTGTAGAGGTATATCTGTGTGAATCCCTGCTCAGGTGTAGAGGTATATCTGTGTGTATCCCTGCTCAGGTGTAGAGGTATATCTGTGTGAATCCCTGCTCAGGTGTAGAGGTATATCTGTGTGAATCCCTGCTCAGGTGTAGAGGTATATCTGTGTGAATTCCTGCTCAGGTGTAGAGGTATATCTGTGTGAATCCCTGCTCAGGTGTAGAGGTATATCTGTGTGAATCCCTGCTCAGGTGTAGAGGTATATCTGTGTGAATCCCTGCTCAGGTGTAGAGGTATATCTGTGTGAATCCCTCCTCAGGTGTAGAGGTATATCTGTATGAATTCCTCCTCAGGTGTAGAGGTATATCTGTGTGAATCCCTGCTCAGGTGTAGATATCTGTGTGTAATCCCTGCTCAGGTGTAGAGGTATATCTGTATGAATCCCTGCTCAGGTGTAGAGGTATATCTGTGTGAATTCCTGCTCAGGTGTAGAGGTATATCTGTATGAATTCCTGCTCAGGTGTAGAGGTATATCTGTGTGAATCCCTCCTCAGGTGTAGAGGTATATCTGTATGAATTCCTGCTCAGGTGTAGAGGTATATCTGTATGAATTCCTGCTCAGGTGTAGAGGTATATCTGTATGAATACCTGCTCAGGTGTAGAGGTATATCTGTATGAATAATTCCTGCTCAGGTGTAGAGGTATATCTGTATGAATTCCTGCTCAGGTGTAGAGGTATATCTGTATGAATTCCTGCTCAGGTGTAGAGGTATATCTGTATGAATTCCTGCTCAGGTGTAGAGGTATATCTGTATGAATCCCTGCTCAGGTGTAGAGGTATATCTGTATGAATTCCTGCTCAGGTGTAGAGGTATATCTGTATGAATCCCTGCTCAGGTGTAGAGGTATATCTGTATGAATTCCTGCTCAGGTGTAGAGGTATATCTGTATGAATTCCTGCTCAGGTGTAGAGGTATATCTGTGTGAATATCCTGCTCAGGTGTAGAGTATATCTGTATCTCAGGTGTAGAGGTATATCTGTATGAATTCCTGCTCAGGTGTAGAGGTATATCTGTATGAATTCCTGCTCAGGTGTAGAGGTATATCTGTATGAATTCCTGCTCAGGTGTAGAGGTATATCTGTGTGAATTCCTGCTCAGGTGTAGAGGTATATCTGTATGAATTCCTGCTCAGGTGTAGAGGTATATCTGTGTGAATTCCTGCTCAGGTGTAGAGGTATATCTGTGTGAATCCCTGCTCAGGTGTAGAGGTATATCTGTGTGAATTCCTGCTCAGGTGTAGAGGTATATCTGTGTGAATCCCTGCTCAGGTGTAGAGGTATATCTGTGTGAATTCCTGCTCAGGTGTAGAGGTATATCTGTGTGAATTCCTGCTCAGGTGTAGAGGTATATCTGTGTGAATTCCTGCTCAGGTGTAGAGGTATATCTGTGTGAATCCCTGCTCAGGTGTAGAGGTATATCTGTGTGAATCCCTGCTCAGGTGTAGAGGTATATCTGTATGAATTCCTGCTCAGGTGTAGAGGTATATCTGTGTGAATCCCTGCTCAGGTGTAGAGGTATATCTGTGTGAATTCCTGCTCAGGTGTAGAGGTATATCTGTATGAATTCCTCCTCAGGTGTAGAGGTATATCTGTGTGAATCCCTGCTCAGGTGTAGAGGTATATCTGTATGAATCCCTCCTCAGGTGTAGAGGTATATCTGTGTGAATTCCTGCTCAGGTGTTTGGATGTATCTATATGAGCCTCTGCTCATAAGTATTTCTTTTATAAATTTTAAGCGACATGATACAATTTGTATTTTTTTATCAAAGTTTTCTTGTTTTTCAGTCAATGATGCTGATTTTAAAGCAGGAGTTGCCTCCCTTTCCATGATTCTCAAAGTTCCTCCACATGCTGACCACCTAGAACAACTTAAGGTAAAGTGTATTTAATAAGAACAGTGAAAATAGCTTTTACAAGGTAGTTATGACCTATACGAAGCACCCTAAGATCAACCTAAGGTGAGAAATATGAGATAAACCATTCTGGAGCTACTTATACATGTATTTGTCAAAACTAGTTTGTTGATACCAATTACCACATCTTGTTGATATCAATAACCACATCATGTTGATATCAATAACCACATCATGTTGATATCAATTACCACATCATGTTGATATCAATTACCACATCATGTTGATATCAATTATCACATCATGTTGATATCAATTACCACATCATGTTGATATCAATAACCACATCATGTTGATATCAATTACCACATCATGTTGATATCAATTACCACATCAATATCAATAACCACATCATGTTGATATCAATTACCACATCATGTTGATATCAATTACCACATCATGTTGATATCAATTACCACATCATGTTGATATCAATAACCACATCATGTTGATATCAATAACCACATCATGTTGATATCAATTACCACATCATGTTGATATCAATTACCACATCATGTTGATATCAATAACCACATCATGTTGATATCAATTACCACATCATGTTGATATCAATTACCACATCATGTTGATATCAATTACCACATCATGTTGATATCAATAACCACATCATGTTGATATCAATTACCACATCATGTTGATATCAATTACCACATCATGTTGATATCAATTACCACATCATGTTGATATCAATTACCACATCATGTTGGTTGTTCTGTTTTCAAATGTACCAGTTCCATTATTTCACATGATTTATTGAAACTTGATTATAATTGTTAAAGAAGTTGACAAGGATTTCAAACTTTTCAGGCCATATGTTTACTGGTTAAAGACAGGCTGTCAAAAGAGGCTATAGCAAAAGCCACATCACAACCAAAGGTAAAGTTTTATTGATTAACATTAAACAATCAAAAGAAAAGTATGTTTGATTAAACTGATGATCTATAAGAGTTATACATGATGAAATTATTTAACTTTAAACGTTGAAGAAATTAAGACGATTCTGCCATGTAATGGTTTACACCAGATATAAGATATAGTACAAACAGTGTATTACTTTAGATAACTGTTTGACTAATTCATTACAGTTTACTTCAGAAATGCTTCCAGATAACAATGAGTTTATTTTGAACCCTGAAATTGGAAACTACAGTAAAGTTACAAGGATTTTCTCATTTTTAGATATATCAATAGCTGTCATAGTTGGCTTAACGTTTTATAAGAATGATCTGATATCACTACGTAATTTTCTTGTGTGAAATAGCCAGGCCTTGTTGGTTGAAAATAAGCAGCAGAAAAGTATGTCATTGAGACAGACTGAATTAGGTCAGGAATAATGCTGATTAATCCAGTGCCTATAAAGTAAAAGCGTTTGTAGTATACTGTTAATTTACTAGAATTTGATGTCTATTGGCTGCTCTATGTTTACAGGGAGTACAAGTACCATTAGATAAAACAGAGCTAGGATTTGAAACTGGAGGTAAGGATCATTTTAATATCAGTTTTACTTCAAATCAAGTCCATTTTGAGGAGTAGTTTTATAAGTATATCAATGTAAAACATTTTTATCAGTTTTCAGTGTAGTTGAAAATCAATTTGTTTAATTGAAAAGAAATGTATGGCTTGTGAACTTAGACTTTTTTGAAAACTAAATTGTTAAAATGAAAAACGTACTTAGTATATGTCTTTCAAATGTGATGATTAATATTTACAGATTATATCATCAATGAAGCTGCCAAAATTGTAAGGTTATTGCATATAAAGGACTTAAGAGATTTGCAGACACAGATTAACGCTGCGATAGTAGGGGTACAAACCATCACGGCCAATCCCAAAACTGACAGCAGACTCGGAAAAGTTGGCAGAATGTAAACATGGCTTAATCTAAAGCCCAGCTCATTGCCGAAGTCTAGAAGAGACTGAAATCCTTGTAAAATTGTGAAAGGAACTGGAGATTCACAAAAGGTTTTCATTTTGTGTAGAACTGGTGCTGTTGCCACATCATCACTTATAATTCCTATAGATCATTGCAATGGACAATTTGTAAAGTCCAATTTGTCTGATCCTGAACTGGGATAATTACTCATAAGTTAGTACAGAGTAATGTACTATCTTTAAGTTCAGAGTTTTGAGTGACGAGAGAATCATGCCCTGTATAACCTGCAATAAATTATTTGTTCAAGAAACTTTTAAAGTGCTAATTATACCGCAAGATTGACAATGTGACATTGTATATTGTAATAAAACTATATACAGTACATTTTCAACTCCATGTTGATCTTTAATTTCAAAAGAAAATGTGATAAATCTAGAGTATCAATCAGTTCATTTATGGATATAGGTGTTAAATACTTTGTTATGACACAAACAAAAGGGTTAGGACCTTTCTTGTTCATCTTGGATTCCTTAACTTCAATAAATCCATAATACAAGGCTTTAATGCCGGCTCTGCTAGTTGCTTAACCAAACTTTTATCAAAGCAATTATAGTTTTGGACATAAAAGGACAGTATTTTACTAAAATAGAAAATCTTGGAATGATGGAATTTTAAGATTAGTGGCATAACCATATGAACTTAGATGATCCCTCATTCAAAATTAATCTTGACATGCTACCATTTTGGATTCTGACTTTGAAAGATTGTTATCCCTATTTCTTGAGAACATCAACACATATCTTTCTCAAATTTCATGTGTAGGTTTCCCTTTATCCATAATTTGGTCTGTTTGATTTTGGTACAGTTAGAAAACAAAATGGCCAAGAGGTGGCTATCTTGGATTTTGACTTTGTAAGTTTGCAATCTTTCTTTTACAAATTCCGTGTGTAGGTATTCTGTTGGTGCCTAGTTGTGCTTGTTCGATTTTGGGATTGATGATAATAACACCAATGGCCTCCAGGCGACCATTTTGGATTTAACAGTTAAAGATTATCACGGCTATTTCTGCAAAGGAATGTTCTCATTCTTAACATTAAGTGCAAAAACAGAGATTAGAAAAGGCAGGCATCAGGATCCCTGTGTGACCTCTGGTAGAGTCGTATAGTTATGTTCTATGACCTGGGCTCGTTTTATTTAGATTTATATGCACACTTAAATCAAAGAATTGAGATATGGTAAAAAAAAATGACAGTTTCCTTGAACGACGTCATATGCATAATGCGCATCTGCAGGTTGTTACAATTTATACACTTGAAAAGTTTCCTTAGCATTAGTAGTTTTCTGATAAAATTCGCGGAAACCCAATAAAAAAACCCCCAAAAAAACAGATGATTTACCGTGTCAGGACCCTGCTCTTTAATATAGCTAATTCAAATTTTGGGATCTTGCTCCTGGTCTCCGGGGGTCAAATTAATCTCATTTCTTTAAAAAAAGTGATTGCTCCCTCCAACATTTGTTTCACATCAAATATGGTTAAATCAACTTAGACAGCAAGTGTAATATAATTTCATTCCGTTTAATTCCCCCTTCGGAGCCCCTTCTCATTCCGCCATCAGGTTCTATGACACAAATGAAAACGAAAATTCCAAACATCGCTGTGTTTGTTTCATATTTAGACTCTGCAAGTCATGTAGTAAAAAAAAACCAGAAGTACTTGTTCCCTCTCGACAATATTAGCTAGTTGACTCGAGGATGTCGTAAGGCAATGTTTGAAACTTTCCTTGTGTGCGAAATAAGTTGATATGCGATTCCAGAAAAAAATCAAGTCACAAGAGGAATTTTGAACGGCAATGGGTCTGTTAAAAGTTATTTAAATATGATACCAAAATACGTCATATTTTACAAAAATGTGGTCTTTACAGTCCAGTGCTAGACCGTTTCATGCGTGAGGCCATGTAGTTTTTATAAAGCTGCAGCTTCAGGTTAAATGTAACCGTTGCTTTGTTTAAAACAACAATGAAATGGATATCTTTCTAATCACGTGTGTACGACATTTGACTTGGTTGTTGAAATTTAAGTACCGCTTCCGCCGAAAGATTGCCGACACAGAATACAGCAGACAAGGAAGTTTTTCTAGTGAATGAATCGGACTTACATTACTTATATGGTGTCCGGTATGTTTTGCGACCTATCCTATCAATTTGGTTATATCCACACCGAACAGTTCGGCATAGAAAGGGACTATGTCTCGGAAGGGCGGATGTTCTGAGGAAACAAGGATATATCTAAACAATCGAGCGAACTGCAGCCATAAAACAGACTTATAGGACAATAGCGGTCATCCCAGTTTCAAATTCTTGTAGTGTGTTGTGTGTATCACATTTCACTTGTTGTTGCAGTCAACGGGTCGATGCAAATCATGACGTCCTCAAACCACACGAAAAATATCACAACGGTTGTCAACGACGCCGACGTGCTATTGAATGACTGGAACGCAAGACTAGCTGGTCTGTTCATACCTCTGGACGTGTTTTTCATTTTCACTATGGTCATTGGTTTCTTTGGCAACATTATAGTATTCATTGTTTACCGGTTTTGTATGAAAGGAAAAATTAACGATCGCTTCTTCATTCCTTTGCTAGCTTTCATGGACGCATTGGTGTGTTTGGTGGGACCCCTTATATCCCTTATACTCAGCATCAGACCCGTCACCTTCTATGGGAATGCAATTTGCAAAATATCAATATTCGTTTTCCGGATCACGTTGAACTCGTCCGTTCTACTCATGTTAGTAATAGCTGTTCAGAGATTCAGTAAAGTTTGTCGTCCATTCGGAAGAAAATACGACATACGACGCTGTAAAAATGATGCCACTATCAGTATAAGTGTGGCTATTGTAATGGCCATCCCTAACTGTATTTTCTTCGGAGAAATTCCCGTACGTAGTGTGATAAAAAACACCACCGTGACTGGTTACCGATGTGGATTTCGGACACAGGAGTCTGAATCGCTGAATTTAGCCATATACTATTACCAAGTTCTGTGTTTTGTTGTGGTGGTAGGCATTGTGATAGCCCTAGTAGTGATGTATTCGTGTGTCGCTCAGAAAATTTACATTCAGGTTAAACGGGTGGAGCACTCTCGCGCCACCAGCATGACCTCTGGTTCGGAAAGCGACAGTCCATATCCGTCCTCAACACCAAATAGCTGCAATAGTGGTACAAAGCATCGGACATCTCAACCAATGCTGGACTGTGAAATTTCAGCTAGGCAAAATATGATAAGACCTAGCAGATCCCTTGCGTCTCGAGAGTCACGTAGTTGTCCAACGTCTCCGACATCTCCCACCGGCAGCATGTCAAAGCCTCGGTTTAAACAGAAACGAGCACGATCAGTGAGTAGGCGCTACACGATCCTATTCATGGCGATCTCAGGACTTTTTGTGTTGTCCTATCTGCCGACATTGGTAGCCAACGTGTTTTCCAAGGAATTGTGGGACTCGCCATCATTTTGGATAAACATGTCGGACGAACAAATACAAACGTATACCTACTTGTTCTTTACCTACTTTATAAATCATATCGCGAATCCTTTCTTTTATGGATTTTTCGATTCTTCGTTCCGCCGAAATGTGATAAAGTCTTGCCGATGTAGATGTTTGCAGTATAAATTTGGATAATGGAACATTGTTTATGAATTTCTTGACAAGCATGAGCCACGAAAATGAGGACCATCATATTTCACCGACGTTGTAAATGTCCAATTACAAATCCAAACATCTACAAAGCGATCTAAATAAACTAAGTCATTAAAATGTAACTTTTTATTAATTAAAATATTACTGACATACAATCTAGTTTACTGAATGTTCTTGTTTCTGTGACGTGTTCTTCATGGTTACTATTAATTTGTCTTACCTTATATGTTCCTGGTTACTGTTTGATGTGTATGTGATGTTCCTGGTTACTGTATGTTGTGTATGTGATGTTCCTGGTTACTGTATGTTGTGTATGTGATGTTCCTGGTTACTGTATGTTGTGTATGTGATGTTCCTGGTTACTGTTCTTTGTGTATGTGATGTTCCTGGTTACTGTATGTTGTGTATGTGATGTTCCTGGTTACTGTTTGATGTGTATGTGATGTTCCTGGTTACTGTATGTTGTGTATGTGATGTTCCTGGTTACTGTTTATTGTGTATGTGATGTTCCTGATTACTGTTTGTTGTGTATGTGATGTTCCTGGTTACTGTTTGTTGTGTATGTGATGTTCCTGGTTACTGTTCTTTGTGTATGTGATGTTCCTGGTTACTGTATGTTGTGTATGTGATGTTCCTGGTTACTGTTTGTTGTGTATGTGATGTTCCTGGTTACTGTTTGTTGTGTATGTGATGTTCCTGGTTACTGTATGTTGTGTATGTGATGTTCCTGGTTACTGTATGTTGTGTATGTGATGTTCCTGGTTACTGTTTGATGTGTATGTGATGTTCCTGGTTACTGTATGTTGTTTATGTGATGTTCCTGGTTACTGTATGTTGTGTATGTGATGTTCCTGGTTACTGTATGTTGTGTATGTGATGTTCCTGGTTACTGTTCTTTGTGTATGTGATGTTCCTGGTTACTGTTTGTTGTGTATGTGATGTTCCTGGTTACTGTTCCTTGTGTATGTGATGTTCCTGGTTACTGTTTGTTGTGTATGTGATGTTCCTGGTTACTGTTCTTTGTGTATGTGATGTTCCTGGTTACTGTATGTTGTTTATGTGATGTTCCTGGTTACTGTTTGTTGTGTATGTGATGTTCCTGGTTACTGTTTGTTGTGTATGTGATGTTCCTGGTTACTGTTTGTTGTGTATGTGATGTTCCTGGTTACTGTTTGTTGTGTATGTGATGTTCCTGGTTACTGTTTGTTGTGTATGTGATGTTCCTGGTTACTGTTTGTTGTGTATGTGATGTTCCTGGTTACTGTTTGTTGTGTATGTGATGTTCCTGGTTACTGTTTGTTGTGTATGTGATGTTCCTGGTTACTGTTTGTTGTGTATGTGATGATCCTGGTTACTGTATGTTGTGTATGTGATGTTCCTGGTTACTGTGTATGTGATGTTCCTGGTTACTGTTTGTTGTGTATGTGATGTTCTTGGTTACTGTATGTTGTTTATGTGATGTTCCTGGTTACTGTATGTTGTTTATGTGATGTTCCTGGTTACTGTTTGTTGTGTATGTGATGTTCCTGGTTACTGTTTGTTGTGTATGTGATGTTCCTGGTTACTGTTTGTTGTGTATGTGATGTTCCTGGTTACTGTATGTTGTTTATGTGATGTTCCTGGTTACTGTATGTTGTGTATGTGATGTTCCTGGTTACTGTTTGTTGTGTATGTGATGTTCCTGGTTACTGTTTGTTGTGTATGTGATGATCCTGGTTACTGTATGTTGTGTATGTGATGTTCCTGGTTACTGTGTATGTGATGTTCCTGGTTACTGTTTGTTGTGTATGTGATGATCCTGGTTACTGTATGTTGTTTATGTGATGTTCCTGGTTACTGTATGTGGTGTATGTGATGTTCCTTGTTACTGTTTGTTGTGTATGTGATGTTCCTGGTTACTGTATGTTGTTTATGTGATGTTCCTGGTTACTGTATGTTGTGTATGTAATGTTCCTGGTTACTGTATGTTGTTTATGTGAGGTTCCTGGTTACTGTATGTTGTTTATGTGATGTTCCTGGTTACTGTTTGTTGTGTATGTGATGATCCTAGTTACTGTGTATGTGATGTTCCTGGTTACTGTGTATGTGATGTTCCTGGTTACTGTTTGTTGTGTATGTGATGTTCTTGGTTACTGTATGTTGTTTATGTGATGTTCCTGGTTACTGTGTATGTGATGTTCCTGGTTACTGTTTGTTGTGTATGTGATGTTCTTGGTTACTGTATGTTGTTTATGTGATGTTCCTGGTTACTGTATGTTGTTTATGTGATGTTCCTGGTTACTATTTGTTGTGTATGTGATGTTCTTGGTTACTGTATGTTGTGTATGTGATGTTCTTGGTTACTGTATGTTGTTTATGTGATGTTCCTGGTTACTGTATGTTGTTTATGTGATGTTCCTGGTTACTGTTTGTTGTGTATGTGATGTTCTTGGTTACTGTTTGTTGTGTATGTGATGTTCCTGGTTACTGTGTTATGTGATGTTCCTGGTTACTGTTTGTTGTGTATGTGATGTTCCTGGTTACTGTTTGTTGTGTATGTGATGTTCCTGGTTACTGTTTGTTGTGTATGTGATGTTCCTGGTTACTGTGTTATGTGATGTTCCTGGTTACTGTTTGTTGTGTATGTGATGTTCCTGGTTACTGTGTTATGTGATGTTCCTGGTTACTGTTTGTTGTGTATGTGATGTTCCTGGTTACTGTTTGTTGTGTATGTGATGTTCCTGGTTACTGTTTGTTGTGTATGTGATGTTCCTGGTTACTGTTTGTTGTGTATGTGATGTTCCTGGTTACTGTTTGTTGTGTATGTGATGTTCCTGGTTACTGTTTGTTGTGTATGTGATGTTCCTGGTTACTGTATGTTGTGTATGTGATGTTCCTGGTTACTGTATGTTGTGTATGTGATGTTCCTGGTTACTGTTTGTTGTATATGTGATGATCCTGGTTACTGTGTAGGTGATGTTCCTGGTTACTGTTTGTTGTGTATGTGATGATCCTGGTTACTGTATGTTGTGTATGTGATGTTCCTGGTTACTGTATGTTGTTTATGTGATGTTCCTGGTTACTGTTTGTTGTGTATGTGATGTTCCTGGTTACTGTTTGTTGTGTATGTGATGTTCCTGGTTACTGTTTGTTGTGTATGTGATGTTCCTGGTTACTGTTTGTTGTGTATGTGATGTTCCTGGTTACTGTATGTTGTTTATGTGATGTTCCTGGTTACTGTTTGTTGTGTATGTGATGTTCCTGGTTACTGTTTGTTGTGTATGTGATGTTCCCGGTTACTCTGTGTTGTCTGTTTGATGTTCCTTAATAGCATCACGGAAATGAGTTTCATGTTTTGTTCCTATCACTCACACTTATGACTGATTTGTGTGTCATTCCTGTTGTGTCACACAAGACAATGTTCAATCTGGTATTGGTTTTGCATCATACCAGACAATTTCCCCTCGTGGTGTTCTTCTAGGCCCAAACAAAATGCTTTACCAATGTTGTACTTCTAGGCCCACATAAGACACTTTACCCATGTTGTACTTCTAGGCCCACATAAGACTCTTTACCCGTGTTGTACTTCTAGGCCCACAGAAGACGCTTTACCAATGTTGAACTTCTTGACCCACACAAAACTGTTACCCTTGTTGTACTTCTAGGCACACATATGACACTTTACCAATGTTGTACTTCTAAACCCACAGAAGAAGCTATACCAATGTTGTACTTCTAGGCCCACACAAGATATTTTATCAATGTTGTACTTCTAGGCCCACACAAGACTCTTTAACCATATTGTACTTCTAGGTCCATACAAGACACTTTACCCATGTTGTATATCTAGGACAACACAAGATGCTTCACCAATGTTGTATTTCTAGTTACACAACACACTTTACCCTTGTTGTACTTATAGTCCCAAACAATATAATTGCCTATGTTATCTTTACTAACACAAAAGCTTCCCCCCTCACCGACATACATATTTCTGATGGTTTTCCAATCTTCTCACTTAGAAGATTGACTTCAGTTGTGTTCACATCAACCCACAAGTTTCTAATGAGGTTCCTTTCTTCTCACTGCGGAATTAACTTTGGTGGTGTTACTCTCTCCTGTTACATTAAACACTCCATACACAAACGACTATTCTCTTTGTCCCCTGTATCATAAATATCAGTTCCCTGTTGTGTCCACTCATCCCACATATCTGATTGTTCCCTGTAGTGGTTTCCTATCCTACGTCAGTGATTGTTCCCTGTAGTGTTTTCCTATCCTACGTCAGTGATTGTACCCTGTAGGGTATTCCTATCCTACGTCAGTGATTGTACCCTGTAGTGTTTTTCTATCCTACGTCAGTGATTGTACCCTGTAGTGATTTCCTATCCTACGTCAGTGATTGTTCCCTGTAGTGATTTCCTATCCTACGTCAGTGATTGTTCCCTGTAGTGATTTCCTATCCTACGTCATTGATTGTTCCCTGTAGTGTTTTCCTATCCTACGTCAGTGATTGTACCCTGTAGTGTTTTCCTATCCTACGTCAGTGATTGTACCCTGTAGTGATTTCCTATCCTACGTCAGTGATTGTTCCCTGTAGTGTTTTCCTATCCTACGTCAGTGATTGTTCCCTGTAGTGTTTTCCTATCCTACGTCAGTGATTGTTCCCTGTAGTGATTTCCTATCCTACGTCAGTGATTGTTCCCTGTAGTGATTTCCTATCCTACGTCAGTGATTGTTCCCTGTAGTGATTTCCTATCCTACGTCAGTGATTGTTCCCTGTAGTGTTTTCCTATCCTACGTCAGTGATTGTTCCCTGTAGTGTTTTCCTATCCTACGTCAGTGATTGTTCCCTGTAGTGTTTTCCTATCCTACGTCAGTGATTGTTCCCTGTAGTGTGTTCCTATCCTACGTCAGTGATTGTTCCCTGTAGTGTTTTCCTATCCTACATATCTGATTGTTTCCCTTTTCTCACTAAGAATATTGACTAATGTAGAGTTTCCTCTCCTAACGTCTGCCTCACGTATGTGACTATTCCTGGTGCGGTGTTCCCTTTGTCTGATATGAGTGGTTGTTCCCTGTTGTGTTCCACTCTTCATGAATAATTTTTTGTACCAGTGTTATTCCACATTACATGAATAAGTATCTGCTCTCTCTGGTGTTCCACTCATTATGA